CTGGGGTTTCGGCTGGGATGCCGGCTATGGCGGCGGGATGCTGCATGCTCACTCGCCATGTATGAGCTGCGTCGCGACGTGGGGCCGATGCCACCACCAGGGCGGCGAGGTGCACTCTCATGAGCATGACCGTGCTCCTGGTCAGGGGCAGTGCTGTGCGTTGCTACACTGACGCGGCGACCATGGGCCTCGCCACTGGTTTTGGCAAGACTCTGTGCAAATGGAGATTGCTTTCGCAGCTCGGGACCTTTCCAGTAGATGACGTAGACAGCGGCAACCAACACGGCTGAGATGCAGAACAGAATGGTGGAGGCATACTCTAGGTTCATGCCCTTCTCACGGCCGATGTTGGAGTAGAAGGGGGTGGCGGGCACGGTGAGGACACCGGCAAGGAAGTCTCTGGCCCAGCCATTCCCGCCCGTGGCAGAAGCCGAGTAGGGTCCGTATGCGCAGATCATATAGTCAATCGTGGCCATGTAAATGGCGTAGTTGGCTATGCCTATGAGGGCGGTGCCGAACATGGAGCCAATCCAGTGAAGTGGCGGGCCACTGCTCGTCCATGCGAAAATGATGAGCCCAATGGGAAGGCAAGGCGCAAGCCAGAGAAGCAGAGACATTCTTGACTCGTATTGAGCATGTTCGTCCTCCGGGTGCAATTCTCGTAGCCGTTGGTTGCGTTTGAAGGCGGGTATGAAAGCGAGCCAGGCGATGACATAGCCGATTCCGAACGGGAGAAAGGCCAAACCAATCTGCCACGAGTTGAAATTCCACTGCTTGTATACGAGAGAGATTGACTGAATCTGCATGAAGATCAGGGCGTCGGAGAATCCCGAGAGCAGAGACAGCGTGAGCACGATTGGCTCGGTGAGGAACATGCGGAAAGGTCGCATCCAGGTGTAAATCAGCTCCTTGACCGTGAAGCGGGAGAAGAAGGATTCGATCTCGTCGGGGCCATAGACATTGGGGTCTTGGCCCGTCTTTCTGCGCTTCTTGGCAATTTTGTTCATCATGATGGTCGTGCGAGTCTCGGGGACAGTGAAGAAGTGCAGGAGCTGGACAGCGCCGCCGAAGATGAGCTGGATCCAGATACACCATCTCCAACCGCTCGCGGGGTCCATGATCTCGACAAATCCTCCAACGATGGGTCCCAGGATTGAGCCGCCGACAGAAGAAAATACACTAGACGCGGTCAGCCTCGTGGCTCATACATACGTGCCCGGGGGACAACTTACATGTATGCCACTGCGTATTGCTGTCGGTCGCTTTCGAACAGGTCGGCAATCATACCAAGTGTGACACTGCCTCCGGCTGTCGACAGCCCCCCAAGGGCCCTACCAGCCAGCAGACATCCAAAATTGGGCGCCAACACGACGGGAAGGGTGAAGATGTTGACGAAGAGGAGAGAGAGCTGTAGGATCGGCTTGCGCCCAAACTCCTCGGACCAAGGTGCCCATAGCTCGCATCCGAAGGCGTACGTGATCAAGAAGATGGCGGCGCCGACGCGGGCGCCTTGTTCGCTGACGCTGAAGCGTTCCGAAATGCCGACGAGACCGTTCGAATAGAGGGACGTGTTGAAGTTCATTGACGTCTGAACCAAGAAGATGACTGTCAATATCCACCATTTCTTCCCTGTGGCGCATCAAGTCAGCAATCATCTCGAGGGATACAGAAAATTAATGGCTGCGACTCACATTCGGGAAAATCGAAGCCCAGCTCGCCCTCGCACTCGTCCTGGGTGATCTCCCGCTTGCCAGTCTGATCTTTGGTCTGTGCCTTTTCATTCTCCCTGGCGGCGACGGTTTGGGCGACGTTCGGGCCGACGGCTGTGTGGTGGCCTTTTTCGCCGACGGGCTTGTCGGAATCATGGCCGGTGCCCTCCATGACAAGTGATAGAATTCGTCGGAGATGGTGAGGGCTGAGCAATATCCGGGAATATAAGTAGGTATGGATGATTATTAATAGGGAACCACAGCCCTGGGGAAACTGTGGACGATGGTGGAATGGTGGGATGGAGAGAGTTCAGACAGTCTGGCACGGAATCTGGGGAATTGGGGGGTCTCCAGCTTATTATGTACCTACTTAACCTTCTCGCACAGATGACAAGCGTCAGAGCTTATTAGTATTACCGGTACTAGGCGGGAGGATTGCACGCCTGGGCTGACGACCGTGCCTTCGGATTTTCGAGGACCACCTTGCGCGCGACGACCGCGACCGAGACCGAGAATAGAAAGGTGTGGCATGCCGGGTTGCCGGGTGGATGGGTACCTTGACCTCATTGGAATCACAAGTCATCACCAGGAAGTCCCGTCAGGTCATGGACCACCTTCCCAGACAGGATACAGAAAGTAGAATAAGCACCCTGTAATAAGCAGTTGTTCCTTCATGAGCCATGCTTGATCGCTTATTTCAGAGTGCTTATTCCGATTCAATGAGTATACCGAAGGTTGTTTGCTGGATGGGTGGTCCAGTGTACCAACCAACCGTACAGTAATACTGTATGATGAGGCACATCATGGCAGCATGGATGCGGCCGTGCAGGTGTCGGTAGGATCGATTTGGACACCGGGAAAGGACGACGGACGACAATCCGAGGTTTGATTGGCGCCGTCTGCGTCGGGAGGAGTCGAGAAAACGAGTTTCTCTCGAGAGCTGCAGCGAGTCGAGCCACACAATGGGGCAATGACGCAACGCCGCATGGTGTCGGCGCAGTTGCGGCGACGCGGATGGGTGCAGGTGAGCAGGTGAGACCGTGAGATGGAGAAGATGGGGAAGGGCCAAGGGACTAGAAGTGGGCTGAGTGGGGATAGCGGGCTGTCGGTCGTCCTCTTTGGACAAGCCGTCAAGTTACAACCAATGGAAGGCTCCACATAGGCTCCATCCGTGCTCCACCTATAGGGCCCGCCGGTGCTGCATAAGGTGGACCTAGTGCTGCAGCATGGATGCGGACAGCATCCCGACACCTCCACCTGTTCAGTGTTTGCCCCGTTTGCCTGTCTGGGGCTCCAGCTGGGGCTTCCGCTTCCACAATCCACATTATGGTGTCTCCCTCGATTTGGGGATTTGGGGATTTGGGGATTGCGGATAAAATTTGAAAGAGCTGGAGTTGACCGAATCTCGATTGCGACCAGATGTACAGTTGTACTCGTCGCCAGTGGGCCAATGCTACGGTAGCGAGAGCCCCTGGCATGGACGTTGGAATCACCGCCTCCCCTGCGCCCACACGCGCCACCATAACCAACTCTGACAGCCCCTCAGCCTTCAAAGGTTTGTTTGTCTCGCGTCTTCGTGTTTCGGACAGTGAGTTGTGTAGGGAAGACTGGTGTAGATTGAGTTTCCTTGGGCTACTGTACCTACCTAGGCTGGGAAGTCCGTCGGTCCTTGAATTAAGCATCTCGAGGCAGATTTGGCAGATTGCGGCGCAACCAGCCAAGCCAGCGATGAAGCCTTGAAAGTCAAAGTCAGGCCTGGTCCAGTCACGCGCCATGCAGTAGCAACGGTACGTCATTGCAGGGCGGAACCAACCCATGGGCCGTCGTGGCCTGCGGCGCGGCCTTAACCCGACCACCCGACGTCGCAGCCTGCTTTTAGTTAGAGGCTGGGCATGGGCATGGGCAGCACATGCCACACGGGAAGGAAGCACGCGACAGGCGACAGAGGCGACAGCTCGGCTATTACATTCCATTTGTCATTCGGTGGCATGATCCATGGTCGTTTTGTCTCGATGCTCCGACTAAAAATAGTGACCGTAAGACAATTGGTGCCGGCCTCGTCTTGCTGCGTGCTACCTATCCACGATTATCGCAAACGGGAATAGTGCGACTTGATGCAAGGACGGAGGACAGCCATGTCAGTACTTACCGTGGATCAATCAATGCCCAGGCCGCGCTCCATATCCTCGACTAGAAAATGTTACCCCTCGTGACATCGACGACCTGGATACACATTGAAATCACAGCTGTACTGTTTCCCGAGCCGCTGTGACGAACTCGGATTACCACTAGCATCATGACCAGCCACAAGGAACAATCCATGCACGGAATATGACGGCAGCGCAGAGAATGAATATGTGAGTATTTGCTATCAAACGAGCAAAAAAACAACAGAACACTCGCGCCTATGTACCCGATAACCAGATGTGCAGCAATCCAGGTTCTAAGCTGACTCCTAGAGCCTCGCGCTCCCCCTCCAGACCGAAACCTTGGATGATGTGCCACCAAAGTTATGAAGCCGTTCCCCTATAAGGTACGCCTCGTCCCTGATGCGCACTTGCCAGCCTCCAAACACCCGTACCATGTTCCGTGTAATGAGGAGGCCAGCCCAGAAGAGGGCCGTGACTGGGTATGCCAGCCGGAAGACCAACACTTGCATCTCGTGGCTCACGCCCGAGTCACCCTCCACGCCCTGACTAATCGCTGCCCATGCTATTATTGGGGGCATGAAGATCATCACCAGCGAGGCCGTGACTCCAGGAATCACAAATGCACGGGTAAGCACCCCGACATCGGGGTACAACCAGCCCTGCCGCAGCACGGCCCGCACTGCATGGGCGGGACGTCCTCCGTACAGCGTCAGAGCTCGCGAGCCGAGTTTCAGGTAGAGTATGCCCAGCGTCCACGCCTGTATCACTCGGATGGTGTGGCCATCTCGCAGCCCGCCAAAACGTGATGGCGTCTCCGTCCCGGTAGCATACATGTACGTGTGCAGCGGCATGAGCACGTATAGCTCAACCAGTAGTGTGATGAGAAGTGGGAAGATGATCAGGAGGACGGTATATGTGTAAAAGATTCGCGCCGCGCGTCGCCCAAGGCGCAGAGCTCGCTCGATCGCGCGGCGGTCAAGCATCGAGTCGACGGCAGTTGCGCCCCAGACTCTGAATTGAGTCAGCACCGAACGCAAGTGGAAAACGAAGTAACCTATCGAGCCAAGCACGTAGATACCAATGCTGAAGGCATATATGTCATTCGTGCGAATGTGAGACGGGATGAGGACCTTGAACATGCGTCGACCAAAAACCAAGGGCACAATGGTGAAACCGACCCCCGTGATGGCCGCAAACATCCATATGAAGAGGATGAAGAGGAAGATGCGAGCACGGAAAAGGGGAGGCACGTAGACAAATTGGTAGTGGATTCCCGAGTAGAGATCTGTATCGGGCCGATCCGGCTTGCCGTCCTTCCTGGTGTCCTGCTCCGAAACGTCCAGAAACACTGCTTGCCCCTTGGGGATCTTGACCTGGTCGGAGGCTGGTGAACGCACGAACCGACCATTGGTGATGAGCTGTCCGGAATCAACAAGTCGCTTCTTAATTATGTTAAATACACCCATCTCGGCCGCCGGGATTTTCGAGCTGGGCTTGGCTTTTCCACCGTCGAACAAGTCGTGCCACGTCTTGGGGATGACCCTGTTCTGGTTATCCACTTCGAGGAAGACCCTCCGCCACCACGGAAGATTGCGGTGTGGCGAGTCATCTTTGAGTGTCAGCTTGCCCTCCTCATCGACGCGTCGTTCGCCAAACAAGAACCACGTGAGCCGCAATCCTCTAGCGCAGGTGCGGAACCACCAGGTATACATCGCATGCAGACCATCACCGGGTTTGAAGAATTTCACGGCCAGCGGCATCAGGAAATTGTAGAACAGTAGGTCGATTGGAAACTCCAATACCGGCTCATTTGAGGAGTAGTGGATTGGCAGGACATCGGGCAGGGTCAAAGAGAGCCCCCAGACTACCCCGCCCAGACAAACCACGACGAGGGCTCCGTAAACGAAGGCCGAGAAAAGAATTTTGCGCAGTTGGGTAGTGACGTTGCGCTCAAGAACATCACGGACTGGATGAAACTCTGGGTCGTCTGGATCACGAATAAAGTCTGGTCTTGCGTTAGCTGACGTGTACCAAAGCCGGCACGGTGAAAAGGGGGAGACTGACATAGGACGCCTTTCCGCATGATCTTCCGGCACATGGACACAAACAGGGCGAAGTGGAACATGTAGCCGGTACCGACGAACCAGTGTACAAACATGGAGGTGAGCGGATGATTATAGGTGAAGAGAAGTCGCGATTTGAGACTCGTGTTCTCGAAGAGGGGAAGCAGGGCAAAGTCAAGCAGGAGGCCGCAGTATAACGGGAAAACCAGCATCTCTATACTGATAATCAGAATCACCTTCATAACGCCGCTGGCTTGGTTGAGGGCGTCGATGATTGACGCTTCCCATTCCTGCGCAGTCTGTCCGGTCGAGAACGGTGTTCCTCGTCTCAGATACAGGCCAGCAAGAACTGACAGCGAAAGGTACCCGAGTACGACGGCCCACGCCCTGTCGTGGGAACTCCAGAACACGAGGTTGGGATCTACCGCGGACGCTGCTTCGGGCAGTTGCAAGTTGATTACCCACGTTCCTGGTTGGACGGCAATGCCAGGAATGGACTTCACGAATCCTACAGCGGCCGATCCAGCCACATTGGCAAAGGTCTTTGCTGCCGTCCACTTGGCCGCATAGTTCCCACCGAAGAGGTAGACCATAAGGTGTGCAACGGCCGAGGCGGCGTAGAAGATATCGCCCTTGATGCGGATGAGAGCTTCGTGGCTGATGGCTGAAAAGTTGCGCATCTCGCTAGCAGATATCAGCGGAATCTCAGACATGAAGCTGCTCGCGATTCTGTCAAAGGCGCCTGCTGAAATGTGCTTGGCGTTGAGTATTAAAGAGCGCATCACATGTTTCCCCTGGTCCATTCTCAGAGATAGCCGCAGTCCTTCGATGAGAGTGAAGATGACGGTTGACGAGTATCCGCCAACTAACAACACGCCATCCTGCACGGATTTGGCAAAACTGAACGCCATCCGAATGAGCCGAGTCGGGTTGGCAATGGTCCACACGGTCACTCGCCCAATGTTATAAGGGGCGAAAATGCCCATGAAGATGGTGATCGATACAAGCAATGCGCAGAAAATGGCGTTTTGGAGGAGACCGGCCACTGGCCCACGCATGCCGATCAGCTCCATGATTCCCTCAAAATCCTCTGCGTCTTCAATCGCTTCTGGGTCTAAGCCAGCGGCGACTGCAGCCTCCATAACGTCGGGAACCAAGTCGAGTTCATCTTCTTCGTCATCATCGCCATCGCCGCCGTCGTCCATAAACGGAGCATTCTGATTGTCGCCAAAGATGTCTACAGCTTCTTCGGCCTCTATTTCGTCTGCGGGGCCTGGATGGACGTCACCCCACATGAAATCGGCCATTCGATCGACAATGCTGCCTGGCCGTTGAGCTACAGCATTAGGAGCTGCACCTACGTCTAGGGCACCCTCACCCCTATACGCTCCCTCGCCCACTTCATCTGGGGTTGGGTGGTGCGTCGCGCTGGCGTTGGCGTCCTCGTGATGCGAATCCAGTATTATTTGCCTCGTTTCCACGGGTTCACTGGGAAGTGCATGGGTTATTTGAGCAGCATGAGCATCGACACTCGGTGAAGCGATCTCATCTCCGACGGAAGCAGGCGTCAGGACTTCTGTAGTGCGTAGCGACGACGCGGACTGGCCTGTCGAAGGGGTCAAACTGAAGCCTGCCACGTCAGAGATATCTTCAGCTTGCGGAGGGCGTTCTGCAGGTATGCCTGAGAACGACCAGTTGTTGTTGGCCAGTGGATTGATGGCTTCGTGGTGCTGGGGACCATCAGAAACGGCCCGAGGTCTGCTTGACAAGAGCGCTGGCGAGTCGCTGGCATCTTGCGCGTCTTCAGTTGAGGAAGCGCCCGGACGTGGTCCTGATGGCCATCCTGAGGTACGCTCCGCATCAGCAGACTCGTCGAGATCAAAGAGTCCTTCAGCCCTCCCTTTACCCTTCTCGCGGTTCAAGTCATTGGCATCATTACCATCTTCACTTTCAGCCCATGTCCAACTCGAGCTATCACTATCAGCGCCGTGGGCCAGGAGCGAGCCTGATATCGAGAATGATTGGTTTGAGTCCCGCTCATCGAGTGTTCCTGCGTTGACGACGGGACCTGCCGACGCGGGGTTGCTTCTGTTGTTGACAGCAGAGGGCCCGTCCGCAGCAGCCATTGCATGAGTCACGCGAACCCAATACCGGAGTCGGTATTCGAGACCCTCGTCTTGAATGGTTTGGAGAATCCTCTCTCGGTCGCCTCCAGCTTCTCTGTATATGCGCAAGTACTCCTTCACCGTAGTCTGCGATGTATCTTGACCATCATTTCCTGTGCGCCTTCTGAGATGATCGCCATGCTCGGTGCGGCTCGATAGAAGTTCGTTGACGAGATGCTGGTCGCTTGTGTGGACTGAAGGATTACTGGCCTCATGCCCAAGAGCCCCGGGGGTAGTGATAGGGGAAGCAGGGGTGTGGGAACCAGCCCCAGTACCGCTTTCCGGCACTGGCTCATCGTCATCCTGTCGGGTCGGTCTGCGGCGAAACCCAGCAATCGGTCGCAGTCGCATATTTTCTAGTTCTCTTTGGAGTTCATTCGGCGTCGCAGCGGTCCCGTCACCGTCCACGGCCGTCGTAGAATCGTAGTCGCTGTCGTTGTCGTTGTCTACGACGTCGTCTGGGTCTGGCCCTTGCCGTGCGGCATCCAGAGGCGCGGCTGCCGGTGGCATATCATTCTCGGCGGCAGCAAAAGCGGCCCGCATGTTGATCTCGGGCTGTTGCTGGACCACGTAGTCTCTAACCAGGATGATCAAGATGAAGCACACAATAACGAGGAGAGTGATGACCTGACCTTCGAGCACAGCAACAATGGTTCGGTTGATAGTCGGGTTACGGGTAATGTTGTTGAGAATTGTGATATCGCTAAGCAAAGAACCGTGTTGGTGAGGCACAGGCGAGACGGCAGGCTTGTCGACGTAAGACACGTTGAAGAGATGGAGCGACTGCTGTGCTATGCTCCCGGTCGTGTTAGGTCTGGTGAACAATATTCGCAGCCACGAGTGGTTCGCTACATCCAGAGGTTTCGATATTGCCTTCAACAGGCTTGACAGTGGCAGGTGGTCCATGGCGCCTCCCAGGGTGGCCGCGGTAGTTGAGGACGCCAGCAGAGGAGTTGAGGGGCAAGTGGTGGTGCCGGTGCCGGTGACAGATACCGAGGCCGGATCGCCGCCACGTAGTGAAGTCGCATTCCGGGGATCGAGTGGAGATGGGCTGGCACCGAAGCCCTCGTCGCTGACCCAGAACAAGAAGGACCAGACCCAGCGCATGCAGTACGGAAGGCAGCCGAGCCAGACAGTCGCCACCAAAGCAGCCCTCAGCCAGAAGAGGATTTTTCGAAACAGGTACCTGGTCATGTGGCTGATGAACACGTTGAGCGGCAATCGCTTGGGCATGTCGGGAGAGTACAGCTTGGTAAAGCGGAAGGGGGTCTTGCAGAGCTCGCAATGCTTCTTCTGTGAATGCGACAGCCACTCCATCAGACAGTCCTGATGGACGTACTTGATGCTGCCACTGCATTTGCACGGATAGAATAGCGGTTCGTCGGCGGTGCCCTCTCCCCTGCATATTCGACATGCATCGGGATCAAGGTTGGAGGCATTGTCGGCGGCCTGGGGAAGGATGGCGGAGGGGTCGTTCATGGTGTCAGATGGCGTGTCGGCGGCCAGTTGCGGGCGTGGGATGGTATTCGGGTGTGGGTCGAGGTCGCGCGGCGGAAGGTTCATGATAAACAGCGTGCCTCTTCAGGGGAGGATCGGTTGGTTGTGGCCCAAGGGGGGCTATTCGATGTGTGTCGAGATCATGGGAGAATGGTAGCGATGTCGATGCCGATACGTCGAGGTAACAATTATGTCAGATCTCAGATCTCAGATCAGGCGGCAGCGGCTGGACAGGATTACCATCAAAGGGCGGCTCCGTCCCGTGAATTCCACAATGAGCAAGAGGCGGGCGGGGCTGGCGGCGAGTGGCATTTGCCGTCGTCGTCTTCGTCGTCTTCGTTGTCGTGTCGGACCAGGAGGTTCGGGTGTTGAGTAGGAGGTCGTAACTTATGCAAAGTGTCGGGTACCTACCTAAAGTGATAAGCGTTTTGTGTCTCTGTTAGCCTTTACAGTAGTGGAGTGGAGGTGGACATAAACGCAAAGGTAGGGGTCGTAAGGTGTGATTTCTGGAGTGGCGCGTTCCCTTAATCCTTAATGGCCGGCCCTCACCAAGACAGTGTGGCACACTGTGACACACTCAGAGCCATGCTGAGTAGTACTGCCGAGTCATTGGATAGCGATTGCCAATAACCGGTGATTAGGTACTGACCCATACAGTCGTTTTTACAGTGTGAGGAAACGGCACGTCGGCACTGTAACCTGGTGCTTGTCGTGCCTGTACCGGTCATCTTCTCGAACAAATAGAACATCTAAGTAGGTATCTACAATGTGCTTGTATGTAGAGTCGGCAAAGGCGACTTCGCGTTGTCATCTCTAGGTATGTGCTAACCCCCAATCCTATGATCAACCTAAATCCCATGCACTACTCCGGTCGATGCTCTGCTTAGGTATCTTAAGGTATGTAAGCCTGAGCATCTCGGTTTTGCTGAAATCACATGCATGTTGAGACTGAAGCTTGAATTGGTGCCATAGGCCGGGGCGGCATCAAACTTGATAGTAAAATGAGTCGCATCGCTTGTAGGATTAGATCCAATACCGTATTATACCTGGTCCCTCGTGATGCTCTTTTCGGCCGTTGCCAAAGATATACACACTTGGAGGTTTGAACGGTTTGGTAGGTTCCTTGCGCGGGCCTGGTTGTGTCTATAGATATCGCCTTGATAAACACAGAGACACGATGACGTCTTCCAAATATGGGAGAGCCCCAAGGAGAAACCTCACCGGGCTTACATGCACTAGGCAGACGGTCACATGTTCCGTCGGTCTTGGCTCATGGTGTCAGGGTGTTTGGTGATGGCGGTGATGTTGGTATCCATGCAGCTAGCAATGGCCAAGGAGGCAACCTTGAAGTTGTAGAGTTTTTCGTCATAGGGACTTCGACAGTCAGCCGAGGATCGTGGCTGGCGTGCCCATCGTTGCTATCGCCGTGAAAGTTACTGTTGTTTAGGTACTGGACTGAATCACGTGCCTAAGCCAGCATGTAGGCATGATACCTGCCTGTCTTACCTTGCAGCATGGTGTTTCCAATGTGAGTACCTTATATAGGTAGATATAATACCATACCTTACCGCGTAGGAACCTTGCAACTTGAAGGGTTTCCAAATTGAATGTGTACATTGAAAGTGATGGACAGCAGAGAGGCTGAGAGGATCTAGAACTTCCAGGCTTTCAAGCTTTCGAGCTTCCGTCTCCACGGCGCGGGGCTTACAAGTTACAGGCTTACACAACTCATTATCCAATTACAGGCCTTCCATTTAGAGGAGACGGGGGAACGGGCAGAACGGGGAACGGAACTGGGATCAGCGAGTCCTTCCCTCGATCGCACCTTACCTACCCGGGTGGTGTTGAATACACGGATGTTGATGGATTCTATTGATTGTTCTGCTCTGCTTCTTCAGTGTACAGAGATTGATCATCTGTCTTCTTGGTGGGTCAGATGCCCTGTGCGTCTCTGCCCACTGGAGATCTTCCGGTGTCTATCTCCGGCTCCCATTCAACACATACGTGCTAGTATCTAACAGGTGGGGGGTCTTAGAATACCGTGTTGCAATGATGTTGCCACGATGTCAGGGCTCTAACACTATGGCGATTGAAAACGGACTTTCTATAGATTTAAGATGATTATTAAGTTTAAAATATTTTATAATAAGGCCTAACTGTTATTAAATAAATTTGTTGGATTCATGCGATTCCAGCCTGCAAACCATCTATACCAGGACCCACATGTATGATTAAATAAGAGATTAGATATCGGGTTGCGAAGTTACTTAGTCAGACCTTCAGATCTAGCTAGACCTCCTAATCCAAGCCATCAGCAATATCATGGCTTTGACCCATACTCAAGTATTATGATTGATTGGTCAAGCCTGTTCTAACAAAATTGTTAATCATTAAATCGTTATAATAGCTACTGTTACAAACCAATAAACAGTGCAGCCTGATAACAGGCCTAGAGGAGACAATTGGAAACAGGTTGACCAGTGAGAGGGGTGCCGACCAGTAGAGAAATCGGAGCAACGGTACACAGATCACGTGACCAGCAGAACCTAGATCACATGACTAAGAATTTGGATTACTGGATCACTATGGTGAGCCAGTGAGCAGGATCACCTTGGATCACCGGTGATCCAAGATGAGCCACCTAATCAGTGAGAGAGAGATTAGATATATAAGGATGGATATTTCCTAGCTAGACAGATAGACAGTCTCTATCTCAGTGATCAATCTAAGCATCTTAGCCAACCCTAAAGTGGGAGAAATCTCCTGACGACTCGACTATTCAGTGATCCCCTGGATCAGACCAAGCCCCAGTATCTGAGTGTCTTCTAATTGCCAGAAGCCTTTATTGTCCTTTGTGTTGACTTACCTTAGAACATAAACCCTATAGAACCTTTTAGCCTTATAGGTTAGACGGCTCGTCACGGCTACGTTGGATTATTATAATTAGCTTAATACAACTTTGGGCTAATATAATATTATAGCATTAATATCATTTTATACTTAAATATAGCTTAAATAATAGCTGTAATTAAAAATTGAAACTCAAGACTTTTTAAATCTTATTAAAGGCTTTAAAAGATACGCAATGATATATAATACTAGTTGTTATGTGATTTTATTATTAAAGTTGTTTAAAAGTTATTTTAATTATGATAAGATTTAAATAAGAAAACTATAAGTTTATGATTAAATATATATTTTATTATATAATTATAAGCTATAATGTAGCTGAATAGCGAGTTGGCACTTGTCATGAACTTTCCAACTAACACAATTCAAACCATTATATCTCCACCAACAACAGTGGCAACACGTTACAATGAATCAGACTTATAGCTAGCTGTCCAAGCTAAATGACGTGGCCCTCATATTTCTATATTTCAGCTTGTGAAACTCTTTAACATCCATCATTCCACTTTGAGCAATAGAATGAAAGGAATGCCATCACGACGCGACAGCATGCACAATATTTTGAAACTTACAGTTTCCGAAGAGAATGCATTCTTTCTTTCATTCTTGACCTGGATGCGCGAGCATTTCCACCCCGGCACAGTTATGTTGAGGATATGACGAATCAATTGTTGGCAGCACGTGGGGCTGGACGCGTTGAAAAGAACTAGACGCGTAACTTCAATAAATTCACACTAGGCCTCTGGACACGTTTTTATCAGAGGATGGACTATTAAAGAGCCTTGAACAAAGATCCAGACACGTATTGCACATGGTTTTGCCAAATTGTAGCGGCAATCGCAAAACATGGTATCCAAGGCGTGGACATTTACAACTTTGATGAGACTGGGTTTATGATGAGCATTATTGGGTCTGGCATGGTCATCACAAGCACTGAAAGAAGTGGCAGGCCTAGACAAGCTTAGCAAGGCAACAGAGAATGGCCTACAGCAATCTCTGCTATCAATGCTGATGATTGGGTGGTCCCGCCATTCATCATTTTATAGGGCAAAACCCACCTCGCATCACGGTATTGCGACACAACATTACCACGCGATTGGAAGGTAGCCGTGTCTGACAACGGATGGACTACAAATGAGATTGGTTTGAAATGGATTCAGCATTTCAACAAGTATACTAGACCGCTTATAACTGCCAGTAAACGCCTCCTCATCCTAGATAATCACAAAAGCCATCATTCCCAGGTCTTTGAGAATTATTGCCAGAATAATGGCATTATTACTCTTTGTATGCCTGCCTACTCCTCACATAGGCTCCAGCCTTTAGATGTCAGTTATTTCACCCCACTCCAACGAGCTTATGGTCGCTCAATTGAGGATCTCATCCGGCGTCATATAACCTATATTTCAAAGGAGGACTTCCTCACAGTGTTTTGTGAAGCACACAATGCTGTAATGACACCTAGAAACATCTGAGCAGGTTTCAGTGCCACTGGCCTTGTTCCTTTTGACCCAGAGAGTGTCATTTTAAAGGCGGATGCTGTCGCTGTTGTACGAACACCGTCACCAGACCCCAATCTGCCACCCACTACTTGGACTTTAAAGACGCCTACCACCATTAATAAAGCGGTAAACCAATTGGTTTATATCTAAAATCGAGTCAGAAACCACCAAAGAAGCTCACCTATATCAATAATTGATGCATTGAGCTCGTTTTCAAAGGCTACACATGGTCTTATATACAAGGTCGCTTTGGTTGATTCTTGGGTCCGTGAGCTAGGGGAGGCCAATCACTTACTAAGTAAACACCGGAGAACAAAAAATAAATGTCTGGTAAAAGAAGGAATACTTTCTGTTGAAAATGTAACAGGTCTTCATGCTATAAAGGATGGTACTGAGCTGGCAAGACAGGAAATGGGTGAAGGTAGTCGTCGTCCAAGGAGGATGGCAGCGCGTGAGTAACGGTGTGGCGTTTGCGATAACACTGGCCATAATGCGCGAACTTGTACAATAGAGATAGAAACCTCTGAAGAAAAGGAATTTAATTGATTGAATTGAATTGAATGCGTTGTGGTGAAGTTATTTCACATAGCAGTTGGAGTGTTCGTGACGAGTGCCAACTCGCTTGTAAAGCCAACTCGCTTGTCAGCTACATTAAATTACAATTATTAAACATATTAAGATTTTTATTTAAAATTATTATATGCTTTATATTATATAGCCGTTAGTTTTTACTTAATTAATTTAGCCCTGTTTTAACATAATATTATAGCTTTAATACTACGGTGTGTCTGATATAGCTGTGTGGCTTGAACACCTATTTCAGTCAAACACCTTGCTAATCTGTAGCATTAGTCACTAGGTCGATCCCATGCCTGTAATTGCGTAGTGGCCTGACGGGCCAGCACAACGCTCCAACATTTTGGTGCAATGCTGTTGACATGATGGCATGAGTGAACATCATACCAACATGATTTTCAACCCCCCCTCCCACCCCCCCTCCCGCCCCGCCCACCCACCTGGGTAAGGTACCTTACCTTACCGACCCCCAGAATGCTTTCAGCTGCTTGTCTCACTTCTCAGTCTCACCTCACTCTTCATCAGTCTCGTCATCGGCCCTCCTTATCTAGCATGTAGGCAGGGTACTTCATTATCTCCTCTCATCTATCTTGCTGTCTCCTCGTCGTCTCTTCACCTTTTAAAGTTCTCGAGCCATTGCTTTCTCGGGTCTCAGCATCCAACACACTCCCAACACTCCTACGTGCAATATCGAGGTCCCTTTCTATCAACCAACCCCCCTTGCGTCAGAGGTGTGACTACGTGCAGGGTGCCGAAACACACGTTCGCACGAGCGCTCCGACCGCTGACCAGTTGTCTCTATCCGCCTACTTCTACCTCTCGAGCCTTGTGGCAATAGTATCTGCTATCGTCAAAGCTTAATTCCTGCTGCCGTCAGTTCAGCCTTCTTTCTTGTGAACTCGCCTGCCACCATATCCCAAGGGACCAACCGAGCACTGGATTGCTGCTAATCCTTGGTCCACAGCTTCCTCCCTTCGTCGTCCATCTCCCAGCTTTCCCACTCTATATGTTTGTCCAGTCCGACAATCTTCACACCTTGATGTGAGACATCTCCATCACTCTCGACCGAGTCATCGCACCCATCACCATCGTCATGGGTGTCACCATGGACCATCAGTCCAAACCGTATACCAACGGCTCCCCCAAGGGGCCCAAGGGAATGAACGGCGTCAACGGCGTCGACGGAATCAATGGAATCAACGGTACACACGGGATGAACGGCACGAACGGCATGAAGCCAGCGAACACTGCCAACGGGCATGCCGTGGTCTCCCGGAGGAACAGCCCAGTCCAGAAGAAGAGACGGGGCTTCTTCGCTCGCTCTTTCAACATCGCCGCTAGGTAAAACCTGTTCCCCTATGCATGCTGCACAAGGAACGATCCCGTTGCTGACGACGTCTCATCTTGCTCTATATAGGCTTCTAACTTGGTATTCCATCTTCACCCTCTTGTTTCGCTGCCCTTCGACGCTAGACGCCTGCACCGACAAGTCCCCTGCCATCTGCAAGCCGTACTTCCAAGTCAAGCAGTCCGTGTTGCCGCACGTAACCCCATACTACCACACCTACGCCGAGCCCTACGTCGACCGCGCCCGGCCATACTACGCCGCCGTAGACCGCGCCGTCGTCACACCTGGCCGCACTTTTGCTGTCAAGTACGGAGGCCCACGCGTCGCTCAGGCGCAGGCCTTTGGCCAGGGCCAGTGGGAGAAGAACGTCCAGCCTCAAATTGCAAAATACCAGTCGTTGGCCAAGGGGCAGTATGACCAGAGAGTCTCACCTCACGTCGAAAAGGCATCCGACGTTGTCTCGCCCTACTACGATATCGCACGCACCAATGCCCTCCAAACCTATCACGAGTTCATGCTTCCGGCCTACCTCTTCGTGCAGCCCTACGCCGCCCGCGGCTACGATGCTGCGTACGCCTTCACGGCCAAAACCGCTGTCCCTTCGACCGTCTGGGCCTGGAACAAGACGTACGCTTTCCTGGACTCTGCCGTGTGGCCCCACTTGAGGGATGTCTACGTGATGAAGGTAGAACCGCAACTCGTGCGCATTGGTGAGCGCCTCGGTAGATACAACGAAAAGAAATCCAAGCCAGCACCCGATCAAGCCAACTTGTAAGTCTCGTGCCGTTCTTTCTGGACAGAGTAGGTATTAACACTGAACCCAGCACTGCTCCCGCATCCACCTTCATCAAGCCGTCCTCGTCCATTTCGTCTTCCACAGCATACGCCGCCGAGGGTACGCCTGATCTATCCTCGACCGCAGTCGACAGTCTCGAGGCCCCTGAGTCTTCGGCAGCTAGCGATGACCCGGCGAAGGTCCCCAAGGACCGCGAAGAAGCTCGCAAGCTCGCTGCAAAGACTGTAGCGGAAGATCTGGAGCTCTGGGAGGGCAAGTTTTCCGAGGCCGCCGACGAGGGTGCTGTTGAGATCGAGGAGCGAGTCCATGAGATCGCTTATCGCATGATCGAGCGACATGCCAAACCCATGGGCAAGTCATTGGTTACACAGTTGGACGACACAGTTACGTCAGAGATTGAGCATCTAAAGAAGGCTTTGGTAGGCACCTTGGAGAAGAACGCTGGAAACGCCGAAAAAGGGGACGAAGAAATTGTCGCCGCGATTCGAAGTGCTGGCCTTGCGATTAAGAACAAGGCCCAGGATGTTCGCAATTGGCGCCAGTCCTACGAACAAGAAACCGAGATAGCCGTCACCAAGGCTGCTCAGGAGCACTTCACACTTCTAGCCAACACGCGTGACTTGGCGCTGCAGAAAATCGGTATTAAATGGGCCTGGATGGATGGCGTTACATACAAGGACTGGCAAAAGTATCACCAGCTCAAGGCCAGGTTCGACGAGTGGACGCAGGACTTGAAGCGCCTGATTACCACCCACCCTGGTCTCCTTGAGTCGCAAGCGGCTGCTACCGAGATAGAAGATGAGGCTATGGGCATCGCGCAGGCTGCAGCCGAAGAGCTGGCCAGACTGAAGCAGGTCGCCGCATGGAAGGCGGCTGCCGGTGATCTGACCGATGATTTCGATAGCGACACTATGCGGCTTGCGGCCGAAGCTGCCCAGGAGAAGGTAGCAGACGACATGTCTGAAAGTACCGAAACTTCCACTGTGGTAGACGGCGAGCAAACCGAGACGGTAACCGTCTCGTTGGCCGGAGCAGACTCGGATGGCGCCGATACCTCTGCTCTGGCTCCGTTGGAGAGCCTCACTACGGAGCCGACCGAAAGCGCCAGTGACCTACCCTCGGCTTCCGACCTGTCAGAGACTAGGTCCTCGCAAGATAAGGCGACGAGAGCGGCCGAATCTGTTGAGTCCCTTCCCATATCGGAGCCTGCAGACGGGCCTGAGCAGCTCGATGAGACCATCGTTGAGTCCCCAGGAGTACCGACTCAGTCCGCCGAAGATGCAGCATCAACCACCATCAAGTCTGCTCTCTTTGGTGCAGCAGCCCAGTCGGTTCCCTCCCGCCAGCCGATCCTTGACGACGACTTTGTTTCTTCGGCGTCGAGTGCGGCGTCCGTGGTGCAGTCAGACGTACCGGCCAGCATCACGTCGGCGGCCCAGTCCGCATACACTGCTGCTATCGCCGGGGCTGCGGATCAGTACTCACGTGCCATGTCGGCCGTATCAGCGCAGGTCAAGGGAGAACCCAAACCCGTCCATGAGGAAATGCTCAGTTCGGTATCCAATGCCTACTTCGGTGCCATGGCCTCGGCCAACTCCCGCCTAGGAGAAGCTATGACTGCTGCATCCGCAGGCATCTACGGCACCCCAACGACCAAGTGGATGCCAGACATGCCGACCATGCCCTCAATGCCATCAGTTGACTGGGAAAAGGCCCAGTCTATTGCGCAGCAAAACCTCCAGGACTCTGTCAGCTGGGCTTCTGAACAGTACGAGGCTGCCAAGGTTGCACTGGGCGCTGCAGAACCAACACCAAGTACATATCTCGAGGGCGCGGAGAAGATGGCGTCGAAGCTACTGGACCAAGCGCAGCACAACTATTACGCGGGCGTTGGCATGGCCCACGCTCGCTACGCGGAATTCCTTTCCGCTGCTTCCACGGCGGTGAGCTCGTTGACCGCGACGCCGACACCCACCAACCTCCAGGAGTCTGCCGCGTCGGCCGCATCGGTAGCAAGCCAGTCTGCCTCGTCGGTTGCATCGGTAGCCGGTGAGTCGGCCTCCGGCGCTGTCTCTGCTGCAAGTGAGGCTGCTGGTTCGGTGGCGGCCTCTGTTGGCGACATGGCGTCCGGAGCCCGAGACTCAGTGGGTGAGAATTGGGACGCGATCGTCAGCCGTGTAAGCTCCCAGGTCTACGGTGCTCCAACGCCCACACCGTGGTATGAGAATCTGTACACTGCTGCCGGTGACTACGCGTCCGTCGCTGGCGACTACGCGAGTGCCGCGGGTGACTACGCCGCATCCGCGACCGATGCGGCCGCGGACCATATGTCTTCTATGACAGCTTTTGCGGGAGGTTACGGTGCGTCGGCCGGTGATGCTGCATCTTCGCAGTACGCCGCCGTCAGCTCACTCGTGTCTGAGCTCGTCATGGGCAAGGAACCGACATTTACTGAATCGGTGTACTCTCGGCTCGCGGGCGCCTATGTGACTGGGGCATCTTCTGCCTCGAGTCTCGCCAGCGCCGCGTCCGCAACAGTCGCGAGTGCTGCAAGCGAGATCACTGACTCAGCGGGCTCTGTTGTCAATGCTGCTGGAGATACCGTCTCTGCCGTGACCGACAGGGTGAAGGAGACAATCGATCATATGAGGGACGAACTATGAACGTGTGCACACATGTGCCGTCCTCCTCGTGGCTTTAGCTAGCCAATCGGTGTCTGGGGATTGCCCTGATTCTTCAATTCAGTAACGACTTCATTTCACCTCCTTACGCAACATCATTTTAGCGACCGCAATCGAGTTTGTTTCTTCGTCGTATTCATCACTCGTTCACGGGGCAGAGTAGATCCACAGCGCTCGGCATCATGGATATCCTGTTCCTTTCCATCTGCCTTGGGATTTTGCTCTATTGGTATCTTGATCCCAAGTCCCACCAACCGAAAATGATCTGGGAAAGTGGGTGAGGTTGGAGCAGCATCAGTCGGGGCGTCGCGAGCTTACCGGTCAGTCTGCGGTTGGCGCACATAATGCGTACAGTAAGCGTAGTCGTCGTCGATGGGCATAGGTGTTGGTGCCTAGCACCAGTGGCAAAGGTATTCGAGATGAGTAGGATGGTAGGGCGGCGCACTCGGGCTGGGTATGAACCTGTATGAAAATAGTTACGTAGGCTGAACACGGCGTTATTTCTAAATAACACCAATGATTAATGATTTTCGCCTATCTATCGCCGAGGTACCAATACGGACTATGAGTGTAACCAGTGGGTAAAAGATACGGTGTGGCTGTCCGTTCCTTGATGCCGATGTTGCCTCATCGAAGGGGCACCTGTGAAACGCCTCTTGGGGGCGATGCCCAGCACATAGGGGTATAGAGCATGGCCGGGAAGAAAAGCAACATGAAGCTGTCACGACAGCAAAGCCAGCGACCACACAGTTTCCCAGTCGATTGCTACAAATATGATGGTTGAAACCCATAGTGTTGGTGGTTTGTTCCATACCTGTTTATTCTCTCGATGCAACTGCTCAAGTGTAACTTTGGCGTTCGGTAGGATAACCCCATGGTACTGTCACCCCTCATAAGTCTCCGTCCGTCCATACTTCTATTAACTCTTAGACACTGATACTGTATTTTCGTATAATTGGAATAAGCACCATGGAATAAACAGATTTGAGCCCATTAGCCATATGCAATGCTTATTTCAGGCTGCTGATTCCAATTATAATCTTCTCACGTTTCGCTTAATGAACGAGTGGTGTGCGGTGTGACAATCAGGCCTGCAGCTGCGCTGGTCAGGGCTGATGGGATGAAATATCTAGATTCAACGATATCTAAGGAAGAAGAGGCAAGGTCGGAAGAGAAGGGGGAAGCTAGAGGTATATATGTACATAAATATGTGGAGGTATTATGTAATACCGTAACATGCGGAGACTTCTAGAGGTTCAGTGTATCACGAACATGGCTACAATACTATTTGGACAGGAATCAGTGCGCCTCATTTTCTTGCTGGCGAACAAAAGCTAACTATCTGTCATGGGGTTCAAGTGGGGGGAGCAAGTGACTACCATTGTTCCACGCATACGACAAAGGCCTGCGTAGAAGCAGCAGCAGCAGCATGGAAGAATCCCACCCAACATACATACCAGACTCGGGAAACGCCAACGCCATAGCGACAGGTAGACTACATTCACAGGGTGAATTGGAACGATGGGTGATAGTCTCCCATATTGTCCAACTCCTCCTTGGGCTGGCTCAGTCTGCCATCTCCCTCGCCTGCGGCGCGCTTCCTGTTCTCGAGGGCCAGGTATACGACGAGCAACGTCGCAGCGAGGGCGCCGAGCCACGTCAAACCGAGTGCAGTTCCATAGCCAGTCGGATAACGTGGTGACTCCTGAGTGACGAAGATGTTGGCGGCGATAATACCTGCGCAGTTTCCGATGGTAATCTGGATACCCGAGCCGAATGCGCGCTTCCAGTGTCCGGAAATATTGTTGGTCAACCAAGCGAGGGCAATGGGCGTACCCATATATCCACCAATGGAGGCAAGGAATATGGCCGTGTACTTGGCATCACGGCTGAGGTTGGCCTGGTTGAGAAGCATGGCGTAGCCAATGGTGGCGATGGCTGCTCCCAGCATGATGAATCCGTATCGGTGTTTAAATCTGTCGGACAAGTAGGCGGCGCCGAGCATGCCGACAGCAGTCACGACATAGACGGGGACGGTATGGAGCTGGGCGGCTTCAGCGGTCCAGCCGAACTCGAGGAGGATGGTCGGCATGAAGTAGACTGTGGAGTAGCCCGTGATGCCAATGCCCATGTAGACCAGAGAACCGAGCCAGATCTTCCAATCGGAGAAGATGAGCTTGTATGCGTATCGGTTCAGGGTGTCCATGCGAGCCAACTCGGTACCGTCATCAGCGAGGCGGAGTCGCAGCAGTTGCTTTTCCTCAGTGTTGAGGAAGCGGCACTGGTCGGGCCAGTCGACGATGAGGAACACGGAGACAATGGAGATGAAGGCGGTAGCAGCTCCCTCGATGATGAAGATCCAGCGCCAGGCGCGGAGGCCACGGTGGCCGTCCAAGTGCGAGATGCCGTACGCCAGAAGCTGCAAGGTAATGGTCAGCCAGGTCGACACGACAACAGCAAAGTGTTGACAGATTGGAAGAGAACTTACACCTCCAAACGCACCGGCAGCCAGCACGGAGCAGAAGTAGAAACTCATGCGCTTCTGGAACTCGTGCCGCTTGTAGTACATGGATGTCAGGTATATGATTCCGGGCATGACGCCAGCCTCCAAGACGCCAAGGAAGAAACGGAGGACGACGAGCCCTTCGTAGCTTTTGACGAAGCCCATGCACATGTTGACGATACCCCATGCAGCCATCAGAGATGCCAAGTAGTAAGCTGTTGCCTCCCTGTCAGCGGCTTCGCAGGCGGGTGACGCTGGATAGGTAGGTAGGCCACTTACAGGGTCTCATCTTCTTGATGATCATGTTGGACGGCACCTCCAACAAGACATAAGGGATGAAGTAGACCTGTCGGGTGTCAGCTCTCTGTCTGTCCCACGGGCAGGTATGGGCAACTTACGAAGAGGGCAATGTTGAACCGGTTGCCGTACAGGTCGAGGTCCTCGGTAAGACCCTGGATGCGGGCATTGCTGATGTTGATGCGGTCAAGGAAGGACAAGGCGTACACAAGGAAGAGGATGGGATAGACGTGGAGGTCGATCTTGCGGACCAGGCGGCGCTCAGCGTCAGCGTTAATGGGGGCCGGGGCAGTGGCCAAGACCTGGGTAGAGGACGGCAAGCCCTTCTCGCTGTCGCTGTTGAGCATGGCGGGCTTGATGGGCTGGGCGTTGACGTTGACGTTGGGGTTGGCGTCTTTGACGGAGGCTGGGGTGGACATCTGGGGAGAGGGCGGCGAGGCCTTCTCGCTGTCGTGCATGTCAAATGTGATTTTTGCTGTGTCGAGTAGTACTCTGAGGTTAATGTCAAGGCGGAACGGTTGCTCTTGGCGTGTGATTCTTCCAAGGTGCTAGGGGGAGAAGAATCAGTACCTGGACACTAAGCGGGACGAGCAGCACCGATGTGAATTACCTTTCGAAAGTCGGAAGTTGAAAGGTGAAGGGAGCGCCGGTGAATAAAACAAGTACCAAAGTACCCAAGGTATCCAGGCGGAAACGGAGTGGCAGAACCAGAGGCAGAAGACCGGTCGAATGGTGCACCACGAATCAGGAAGGGCGCGGGACCGCGTGGCAGTGGCCGGGCGGGCGTGGGACAGGAATCACTCAGTGCAGCTTCAAATATTAATATGCAGCAATGCTACCTAGAGGTCGAGAAGAAGGGTTAGGGTTAGCATTGCGATCACGCCTGTACCTACATGTAGTCAGTTAGGTAGTCCATTGTCTGCACCTTTTGTCTATAATATTGTCCATCATACCTAACAACAGTACCCTTCAACATACCTCCATTGTCGCTGCATAGGGTTAGGGGTAGCCTGATAGGACCTTTGCCTGGGTTCCAAGTCTGATACTGCACGTGGTGACCGCTTGTCTATGACAGGGTCTTGTGTGACACCAGAGCCTTCATCATCTGCCTATATCATGTACCTATCCTGATTGACTGCGGTAGATGTCTTGGGGGCACAGACCTACCTCTTGTCAACCTATATTGACTCGCACACCTCAAAGTAGTAACTCTCTTCCTGGGTAGCAACCGCATCTAAGAATAGAAAAATCACGCCTTTCGGTCTTCCCAGGTCAGTATCTGATGTAGGTAGGCATCCATGAGACACGATATCAGAGCCCGGCCGTATGGCGCAATGGTCAAATACGCCTGGTTGTGTTCTCGTTTGTGCGGTGGGCGACGAGAACTTGTGGGTTCGAATCCTGCTATGGCCCCCTTCTGACCCGGCTTGTGCGAGTCGATAACCAGCACACGACAGTGGAGAGGCTCCTTATCGCAGAGCCCGATAGCCAAGCAGCTTGTCTCCACAACACCCATTCTTGCGAGGTTTTTCCCTTTATGATTTCCCTCGCCAACAGATAACAAACACCTACTTCACCCACCAATGCGACATATATCGAAAGGCTACTGGAACGATGTGTACACCAGAGGACTGAGGTTCACTGGGTCGCTTTGTCACTGGACAGGAGATTTTTCTGACGGAATCGTGCTTAGGTATTGACTAAAACCATCTGGTCACTCCAGGTTGGTACCGCTACAGCGAGGATAGGCTCGTGCGCGGATCTGAATGTATCTAGACTGACACCTCTACAACCTTGCGATGCAATGGCTCTGGGAGGCGTGGTTTGCCCTATGGAGGGACTGCATCCACGATAAATACAATCAATCAATCAATCGATATCAGAGCCCCAGGGATACTTTGCCTCGGTGGAGAAGGATACCAGTGACAGATATACGAAAGATATGTGACCATCCTGTCGGGTAAACGGAGCTGGAGCTTCAATCCGGAGGTGGGCTCGGGTGTGTATTAAAGGCAGTTGGAGCGTAAGGTGCAATGTTCAATGTTCAAGCCCCGGGGCGGCGGGGCGGCGGGGCCATGGATGTTGACTATCCGGGGACGGCTAGCAAGCTTCCGATTCGTCAACCCCGGGCACGTGCAGGAAGCAACGAACATGTACAAGGTAAGGACCCCTGCAAGCCAGGGCACCCACTGGAGGAGTACGTAGTTTAAAATATGGGGACTTGTCGGCTGCCCGCCGTCATCGCTTGACTGTCGATGCAAGCCTCCGGTGAATCGTGACGGTCACTGCCCGTGCGCGCCCGACTGCGGATGCATAGCTCCCGTCTTCGCTGACTCCCAGGTCCGATGCACCGACAGTGAACATGCGCTGGCTCTCTGATCGCCCTCTGATCGCCTTTCCCTCATCCTCCACCGCTGTTATTGTGGACCTGGCTGCCGTACTGCTAAGCGAGCCAAGAGGCAACACTTCAACTATCAGATGGCCCGGATGACACCGAGGCATCAGCGAAGACGCTGTATCCGTCGCAAATCCCCATTGTCCTACCATTCCCTGACATGTCATGACTGTGTTCCTGCTTGAACCCTGTTTCGGTCTGGTCAAGTGACAGATGTCAGAGGTTCTATGAGAGCAAACCCTCAGCTACGGTACTGATAACGGTCTTGTCACACCTGTACACTTGTACACTGCCCCGGACGTGCGACGTATTCTCACACAACAACGGCTAGCTCATCACAAAATGCCACGCTCGCCAAAGTCTGTTGCCTCGGCAGTACTTGGGAAACTAAAGTCCCCTGGCGCCGGTGCTGTACATGTCCTGCCGCCCAGGTCTACTGGTTGCCGATTCCCGGACAAGATCCTGATTTGTTAAGATAGCCGTGATAGTTCGAATTATGCGGCTTGTATTGCAGATGAGTCGGCAAAATGGCCGGGAGTGATTGACAAGTGCGTAAGACTCCAAGGTGAGGAAGGGCGAGGAAGGTGATGACGAGGCTGCTGACTTAGGTACATTTGGTGACGGGCGTTGTAACACAGATTGGATCACCAATCCGTTCCATGTGTGTCACAGCTTACCCGTGTTTTCATCTGGAACAGCTAGTGGGGAAGAAGGATAAGGAGAAGGAGAAGGAGTTCATATTAAGTTACTGACTCACGACCTGCAGTCGTGTCCAGACATCCAACACAACTCGTTCGCTACAAGTCGCATCGCCATTAGGTGTTCGGCTTGCTCTTCAACAATAGAACCACGCAAACCAAACATCACGGCTTGACAACAAGGCCGAAACGTGGCTGGAATCTCCTACTGTGTTTGTCCGGGACGGTCACCGCCGCATTGGGATATGGTATCCTCATCTATGCCAGATCGTTAGCACCATGGTTTCCAACTTCGGCTCTTCATTCCCCACGGCATTCACTTCTCCTTCGACATTGACCTTTCTAATTAGAGACCGTACATGCGTGTGCTAGCGTCTTTGGGGTATTACCCAGTCTACCAGCAAGAGGAAACGTCACAGAAACCTGACAAACACACCTCTCCAGTCGAATGCGTGGCGCCCTTGGCTCCTGAAGGAGCATATCTGTATGGTCTCTTCAGCTCCAGAGTCATCCGTTTACACGATTCCTGGTTGATCCTCACATGCCCCAGGAAACCAAAACGACCGGCCAATCTCATGAAAGCAGCGGCCCATCGGATATAGTTATCGCCTGACCGAAGCTCCCTTCAAGCACCTATATCAAATCACCCCCTTCCCGGCTGCTCGCACCGCCGCTTCGCGTCGATACTACGACGGGTGGTTCCTGGTCCTTCTTCGTCAGTAATAACGAATCCAAGATCATTTCCCCGGCAGCGACCCTCGAGCGCACCTTGATAGCTACTTGTCGTGTACCAGGGCCTATCCTAGTACACTGCTCTCTGTCAAGATACGTAGCGGAGCTCGTGGGTGCCATATTTGAGCCTCTTCGAACCCCAAGGCATCCTGACCGAAACCGGAAACCACAGGCGGCATGTCCACTACGCGTGGCGTTGAGCATGCGATATCGCCGGCAGCGAGCAACGCGCCACTCATCTACATTCCCTCCTGGGTTTTGCTGTTCGTCTGTCCATTGGTGGTCGGCACCAGAATCTGGTCGAGAAAAAAGACTGGGAAACTTGGTGCCGACGATTACACGATATTGGTGTCGTCGGTGTGTCCAGCTCCATAATATTTGATTGTCTGGATGATGTCGTGCTCACATCAGGGAACAGGCCTTTGCTCTAGCCTCCAGTATCACCATGCTTGTCGGCTGCTTTTACGGATATGGTCAGCACGAGTCGACCTTGACAGAGCATCAGCGCCACGAGGCTTTCAAGGTCCGTTCCTTGAAACACCATCGAGTCTCGAGTAGCTAACTTAACGTCCACCCAGTCTTTCTATCTATGTCAGATTACCTACAAGACGTCCATCAACCTGACCAAGGCCTCCATCCTGCTGCTGTATTTACGGATATTCAGCGGCGTCAAGTGGTTTAGATGGACGTGTGTATCTGTACTGACCTGTGTCTCATTATATGGCGTTGCTTCTGTGCTGGCAACTATCTTTCAGTGCTCACCAGTCACCGCTGCGTTCGACAAGACCATAACGCAAAAGACCTGCATGAACAACGCCCATTTCTGGTTTGCCAATGCCACCTGGTCTGTTTTAACCGACATCATCGTCCTCTTTCTCCCCATGCCCTTGGTATACGCCCTTCAAATCCCGCGCGACCAGAAGGTTGCCCTGGTCATTGTGTTCACCCTCGGAGCCTTGTAAGTTCCCGCCCCCTTGTCCGGGGCCACTTTCGCGTCGGACTAATGAGGCTGCAGTGTCGTCATCACATCTTGTTTGCGAATCACCACTTTAGACATTCAAGCCACCACGACAGATCCCTTATACGACATTGCTTCCACGATGTGGACCATCATCGAGATGAATGTGGCCGTCATATGTGCCTGTCTTCCTCAGATCCGCCCGCTCATCGTGAAGCTCTTCCCTAAGCTCATGCCGAATTCATATTACCATTCGCGGGAGAAATTGAACAAGCATACCACTGGCAACAGCTTCTCAAAGTCCCATGTCAGCAACCAGCAGAGTGCCGGGGAGGGGAGTTGGTTGCGAATCCTCCCTGATGATGGCGTCAATTTGACGAGCATCCGGAAAGGCAACGCAAGCTCGACGGATCCCATTCTCCAGGGAGGCAAGGGCCTGCAGATTCAGAAGACCGTGCAGTACAGCGTGGAGTACTCGAACAATGGGTCGAGCAGGAAACACGACAGCGGTGGAGACGACGATGCGCGTGTATGATGCGTGTACGTGATTCGGTGAATAGTGTCTTGGGGGTAGATTGAAGAGATTATCAAGCTATACGAGTCGACCGTCGCGCTAGGAAATATATAGGTAGTCACAAAGTGTTAGCTAATGGCTTTGGACCTCGATGTTCTAGTTTTCATCCACGACCAGCAACCGGATACTCAAGTGGGGTTGGTATAATATCTCAGTATCAACGAACCCATTTCACTAGGATTCATCTTTCGCTGAAGACACCAGCTTTCATCATACAGCTTAGGTTAGCTCTGGTTTCCCTTTAAAGTCAAAAGGCTGTGTTGTTTTGTAGTAACTCGGAACTTGTTCCGTTGGCGCATGTGCGACGTACCTGGTTCGTTGGTGATCAGAAGAAATGAAGGTAGACTCTGGGGGTGGTGTCAGTCCAGGGTGTAGTGTAATTTGCTTAGGTGAATAGTTGAAAGGGCAGCTGATAGAGTAAGTAGGGGGGTGATAGGGGGGTGGGAGCTTGGCCGTCCGGCAGCTGGAGTGGCTCGAATAGCGGGTCAGTTCCGGCCCGGCCATGGCATAATGGGCGGGTCCAGGGTGCCCCGCGTTCCAACCTTTGCGGCTCAGGCCGGCGCGAGATTTCTTACTGCAGGTGGTGGGCTATTAGTGACTCATTGACCTAAATAATTTTGGATGGGCAGCACGACACCGTGAACTCCAATTTGTACCTTCCCTTCGCCTTGTTCCTGCGACACCAGGCGCAAGCACTCGAGCACCGTATTTCATGACTGCGCCCGTCACACGCACACTGGTCTCGTCTTCTCTTCTCACTGCCCCATCTTTACGTCGCATCTTTTCTCTCTCGTCCCCCCCCCACCACCACCGCCGGCACCGTCCTCTGCTGCCTGCCCACCTGCACTCGAACAGCTACTCCTCCCACTGGACGAGCCAACGGCCTCAGCTACGCGCAGCAACGACGATGGCCGCCACCGACTCTGCCGATCAGCAGCTTGCCTCGCAGCTTGGGGGGCTGACGCTCGACAAGTACCCAAACTGCTACCCTGACATCAACCCCCAGGACATCTATCGATCCCATCTCACCTCCATCCTGGCCAAGATTACTGGCGTCGACCCCAAGATCATCTATCCCGCTCTGCAATGGACTATGTCCCTGGAAAAGGGTGACATGACTCTAGCCATTCCAGCCCTGCGAGTTAAAGGCAAGAAGCCTGATGTGCTGGGACAAGAGTGGGTGGAAAAGGTACGCGAGCTCGCACCCTACGTCCAGCATTCACCCGCATGGTTTGACCTTGATACTGACATTGGCGTTCGAATCTTACAGTGGCCCGAGTCCCCGCTCGTCGAGAAACCCGTTCCCAGTGGCGCTTACCTACCCTTCTTCTTCAAACCCGGCCCGCTCGTCAAGACCTTGATACCCACGGCGCGGAAGATGGGAGCCGACTTTGGTACGAACAAAGCGCACGGTCTAAAAGATCCCAGCGACCCTTCCAAGGGCACCAAGCGGGTGGTCGTCGAGTTCTCCTCCCCGAACATTGCGAAGCCCTTCCACGGTTAGTCCAGCACCTGCCAATCGTCCTGTCGCAAACGGGCCTTGGGCGCCACGTTGACAATTAGCTGCTGTCTAGCCGGTCACTTGCGAAGTACCATCATTGGAGGCTTCCTAGGCAACCTTTACGAAGCTGCTGGATGGGATGTCGTGCGAATCAACTACCTCGGTGACTGGGGAAAGCAGTATGGCCTGCTGGCCATCGGTTTCGATAAGTATGGTAGCGAGGAGGCGTTGGCACAGGATCCGATCAATCACCTCTTTGAGGTCTACGTCAAGATCAACAAGGCTATCGGCGAAGAGAAGGAGGAGGTCGCGAAGCTGCAAGCAGATGGCAAGGCAACCGAAGCGCAACACCTCAAGGACAACGGCCTTGATGAACAGGCGCGTCGCTATTTCAAGCTCATGACCGAGGGCGACGAGAAGGCCATTGCCCTGTGGAAACGATTCAGGGAACTCAGCATCACCCGATACAGGGCGACGTACGAGCGACTCAATATCCGTTTCGATGAGTATTCTGGGGAGAGCCAAGTGTCGGAAGAAGCCATGGGCAAGGCTGCTCAAAAGATGAAGGAAATGGGCATCGCCGAGGAATCCGACGGCGCGCTCCTTGTCGACTTCACCAAGCACGTGCCTGGAAAGGCCGGCAAGGCACTCGAAAAACCCATCATCCGGAAGCGGGATGGAACGGCCCTTTACCTGACGCGAGACATCAGCGAGCTGCTGCATCGCAACGAAAAATACAACTTCGACCACATGATCTACGTAATTGCTTCTCAGGTCAGTTTCCATTATTCTTCTTTTCTGCATTCTCTTTCGTGCAGCCGATGATGGGAAGGCATTGCCTAAGTATGACGAGAGTCATACATACACGGGGGCGGCCTGCATCTACCACCCGAAATGCTGCTGGAAACCCCTGTATGGAGCACGATCTGACCCGGTGGTGTGGAACAGCAAGATTTGCACGTCAAACAGTTCTTCAAGATTGTTGAGCTTATGGGGTACAAAGACATTGCGGCCAAAGTACAGCACATCAACTTCGGTCTGGTGCTCGGCATGAGTACACGAAAGGGCACCGTCAAGTTCCTGGACGACATCCTCCGTGATGTTGGTGAGCACATGCACGACGTGATGCGGAAAAACCAAGACAAGTACCAGCAAGTCGAAAATCCCGACAAGGTGGCAGATACCCTCGGAATCAGTGCCGTTATGGTTCAGGATCAGAGCGGCAAGAGGTAAGTCTGACTCGAACTGGACGTTGTCGTGAGGAGAGTGGAGCGGTGAGGTTAACACAGGGTCCAGGATCAACAACTACCAGTTCGATATGGATGTAATGTGCTCCTTCGAAGGCGATACCGGTCCATACTTGCAGTATGCGCACGCACGACTGTCTTCCATCACCCGCAAGGCCAGTCTCAGCGAGGAAGACATCGCGTCGGCGGACCTGTCGCTCCTCACTGAGCCGCATGCGGTCAACCTGGCGCGAGTCCTTTCGCAGTGGCCAGACGTGGTTCAAAACGCACTCAAGACGTTGGAGCCCACGACCATACTGACTTATCTCTTCAAGATGACCCACAGCTTGAGCTCCAGCTACGACCATCTGCGGATTGTAGGGTCGGAGCCGGGTCTGATGAAGGCTCGCATGGCCCTGTACGACACAGCACGACTCGTGCTCAACAACGGCATGCGCCTCCTGGGACTCTCCCCTGTAGACAGGTAAGACATGGCCCACGTCTCGAGCCCTCGGCACCGATCCTGGTGCGCCCGAAGCTGACCTGACCTGTCACAGAATGTGAATGTTGCCACACTCCGGAAGTCGAGGTGGAAAGACGGCAGCCAGAAAACCCTCCGGGCTACGACGTAGAAATGGCAGCAGGGCAAGAGCTGTGCATCGATGCATTGAGCCCCTTGCTGCATACAGCCTTTTTGCGGCGACAGCGCCACTCGCATGTTTGAGGCGCCGAGGGCTCGTTCAAGTGCCGCTTGGCTATCACGCCGGACTTGTGTTGTGTATCGGTGGCTCGTAGCTGTCGTGGTGTAGAGATGGAGCAGATCAGTGAAGCCCCTGAGCGTGCCGAGTAGGTAGTCGCAATGTCGGGCACCGTTAAGCTGCCCTGCACAATACAACCCAGTCGCAGTACACCTATTTCTGCCAATGTTGTCGTACCCGCATGCAGTGTCCACAAGCCCATGTCTCAACTCCCGGCGCACAGGCCGTGCTGCTGTGGACCAAGGGCCAAAAACCAAGAAACAGAAAACAAGAGCCAAAGGCCAAGGGCCGCTGTGTCTGCCGCCCATGTCCGCTTATATCCAGGTCGGCCTCGACGGTGCCGTCCTCGATCACTACCCGATGGTGATGTGCGATCATCTATAGAGAGCTACCAAATGTCCAAATGTGCAGGACAAAGTTCTAGCCTGTGACTCTCTTGAGGCAGTCAAGCCAGGCTACGGAACGTTGATATGGATCGCATAATAGAGTTTTCGGCCTGCCACCACAGACTTTCCCAGCCCCGAGCCGTGCATACAGTACAGGCTAAGCCAGGACGAGTAAACACAGGCGGTCAGGTGTCTGACTCAAGCTCCCTCCTGCTTACCGCCACCACGGCACATACACGGGGATGACGGGGATGTTGGGTATGTCGTGTGCTTCCAATCCTTCTTCTGCTCACCTACTCTCGGAGCGAGCGCTCTGGCATCAGCATCGGCATCGCCTCTTTCAGCGTGCTCACTCGCCTGTCTCAGTGTGCCAAATACTAGCACCTCGAGCTGGAGTGAGTCTGTGAGCCACGTGGTATGGCTTGCTTCTTGGGTCGCATCTGCTGGCTGACGTAGATATGTAGGCTGGCTTCCTCACGCTGCTCCTCTCAGCTCGAAGGGATAATAGTTGGTGCCGGGCTGCCATCTGTCATCTGTCATCTGTCACCTTGGCGGCTGGCGTCCCTGTATTCAAGCCCCAAGGCGCGTAGAAATACAGTTTGGCTGCCCTTGTAGACCTTAACAGTTCGAACAGGGGCATGAAACGCGGCGGTCTACCTACTTTTTTTCTTTTTACCTTTTTCTATTTACTTTTGCCTGCTGTTGCAGAATACGGAACAGGAATCATCTTCAGCTTCGGAATGGGCGGGAGCCAACGGGCGTCTGCATCCCAGCCAACCAGCCAGCATACCAGCCGCCTGTTAAACTCTCCAGCATGGCGGTTCCCGGGACCCCTGGGCAAACACATCGTCGGGTGGGTGGCCGGCTGGACCTGGTAAGGTATATCCTATTCAGGGTATATCGTAGCTATCGATATTAGCCCGTATATCGATTTGATCAGAGGTCTGCCCCCGTCTCCTCTCCCGGCGTTGAGCCATCTGCTTCTTAACTTTCTGATTTCAAATCGGCAGGGACAAGCCATTCATCTGGAACGTCGACCACCAAGACGCACACAAGCGTCTTTTGCCGTGGACAGCTCTACGCCACCGCGGGGAACTGGCTTCAACCGCTCGTTTCCGGCTCACAGTCACAGATTACTTGTGATCTCGTTAAACATCGATGGCGGTAGCCTGTCGCATCATGCAACTATGCAAGGTCGTGTTCACCGGCAGGGCAAGGCTCCCATGGTCTCATAGTCCCACCTCGCCATCTTCCCATCTCTCTGGGCGCCAATAGTCGTAAAGGTTCTTTGTACGACGGTACCCAGCATGATGGATAGCATGATGGCTATGATTATCAGCAGCCGCTTACGGCAAGGAGGCCTTCGAGTGTTTCGACATATGTGCCCCATACGGACCCCGATCATCATGCGAGAGCATGTGATGTAACGTGGCGAGGGTATCTTTCGATGCTGGGGCGCCAAGGTCCGCAAGAGCGAGAAGTTGTCTCAGCTGGCTTATAAAGAGGTCATCCCTTGGACTGTTTTGGTAACTGGACTGCAAACCAAAGCTCCTTGTCTTACCATCATCAGTGGTCTCCCGAGCCCACCCCTTGAACGACAGCAATGGCAGTGATCCCTTCCGTGGTGTTCGTGGCACTGCTACTCTACATACTATACCTGACGAAGAAACGTCACGACCGAGCCAGAGTTCCACCGGGTGCTCAGTCGCTGCCAGGACCCAAGTGTGAGTGTTTTTGTTCGTTGTCCAGGTTCACGTCTTGCTGATACCTAACCAACAATACAGGCTACCCTATACTAGGGAGGGTACATGACATCCCTTCAGAGGCATCATGGTTGAAGTTCTACGAATGGTCCAAACAGTATGGGCCGATATACCAGATGGAGATGTTCGGATCGGTTCATGTCTGGATCTCGTCGGAGCAGATCGCACATGACCTCCTATCACGCAGAGCCCCCATCTACTCGGATCGTCCGCAGATACCTAACCTCCCAGACAACCGGACCAAGGGGGACTATCTGGCCTTGTCAGGTCGCAATGGTATGTCGCTCTCTCTAAACAGGGGTGATCATGTGCTGACCGCGTGCATCAGAGACATGGAAGCGGCAGCGGAAGCTATGCCAACAATTGATGGCTACCTCGGCACATGACTCATTGCATGGCTACCCAACCATGGAGCGCGACCGCTTTCTCTACCTGCTATCGAAAGATTCGTCTCAGTATCGAGAGTACGTCGAACAGTTCACAGCGCGCAGCGTAGCCCGCCTCTCCTGGGGCAGTCCCCATTCAGCCCAGGTCCTGCGGGTGACGACTCACGGCCTCCTTGAAACGATATCTCCCTCGGGTGCCCTTCCCAACGTTATCTCTTGTCTGCGGCACCTGCCCGCCTGCCTCAGTCCGTGGAAGCGAAAGGAGAATGCGCGCCACGAACTGGAGGCGACGATGCTCAAGGACAACGTACAGTATGTGCACGAGCGTATCAACGAGGGCAACGCCCCACCGAGCTTCGTCCGCACCTTCATCGACGGACTATCCAGTTCCGCTGACAAGGCCAAATGGGGTGAGGAGGCCGAGGCTACGTACGTGGTCGGGCAGATGGCCATCGCCGGAGCCTTGACCATTGGTAGTCCCATACAGAGCTTCCTCCTGGCCATGCTGCATTATCCGGATTGGCAGGAGAAACTCCACAAGGAGATCGATGAGGTGTGCGAGGGCGCTTGTCCGCAATGGGCAGACCGCTCCAAGTTGCCCATGTTGCGTGCCGTCGTCAAGGAGGTGATCCGCTGGCGGCCGCCCGTTCCAACCGGTGGGTGGCATTCTGCACCTTACCATGGCGAGGCCACTCCCTACCTCCTCAAGGATTGAAGTACTGACAAGTCGAGTAGGTATTCCGCACGCACTTGAGCAAGACGATGTGTACAATGGCTATTTCATTCCTGCCGGTGCTACCATCCACGCTCTAGAATGGGCCATCACCCGCGACGAGACAACCTACCCAGACGCAGAGACATTCAATCCAGCGCGATGGCTGAAGCCAGAGTACCCGACCTACAAGGAGCCGCTGACACTGCACCCCAACCTCAACGGCTTCAGCCAGTTCGGCTTCGGTCGTCGCACGTGCCAGGGTGTCCCGATCGTGGAGCAGGATCTTTTCCTGGCTATGGGCGGCATGGCCTGGGCCTTCCACATCACCAAGAAGCGACGCGCCGACGGGACCGAAGTGCCCGTGCATTGGAACGACTTCACGCCACTGCTCATCGCGAAGCCCGCGCCATTCAAGTTTGACGCCATCGTGCGGAGCGAGGAGAAGGAGTTCTTACTCGCGCAAATGTGGGAGAGCGGCAAGGGCGAGGACGACGAAGACGAAGAGCAGCAGCAGTTGCGACAGACTATATGGAAGGATATGGAGAAGAGGGATAAGGGTGCGCTGGCGGCCCACGAGCACGATGATGACGTCTCGAGTGATCGCGGCAGCGAGACGAGTGGCGTGACCACTGACACCGACTCGACCGCCTCGACAGGATCGGAAGGCGACGCTTAAGGCACAGAAACGGAAGACATACGGGCCTAGCCTGTATCTTCGACATTGTCAGTCAGCTCTCACCTGACTGGAGTTTACCAGTCTCCTATAAGCGGTCGGGGTGTACCATTATACGCGATGGAGTTTTGGTTAGTCTTAGCACCTATGATTCCCGGGGAGTGAGGTGTTTTGATGGTTTGAACATGGATTTCATTTTGTATCATACTGGGATTGGGGTAGTTTAGACATGGATCTCGTTATGTATAATACTTTGAATAACATGGACCAAGTTCTACATCGAGGGCTCCAGATCAACTTCACATGACACCATGGGTTACTATATGCTTGATAACATTGAGCAGTTAACCCTTTCCCCATGGGCCTCTCAGGTAATTGTAATATCCGAGTGATGTATAATGATTAACGTGGTTCCCGCTGCGTCCGCAGCTACTTACTCGCGATCAAGACCCCTCAGGAGAGCCACCTACTCGTGGGGGAGCGGCGCTTTCTTCACGTCGCGATGGATAAAGGAGTAACATATGCAGAGTCTGCACAAGCACGCGTCTAGAGACGGGGTTGTTGCACAGACCATGATCTATACACAGCATCTGAAAACACATCGACGCGGATTTGGCCGAAGTATGCTGCTCTGAAACAAATCCTCGCGCACAATATGTTGAGCTTGTGTTTCTCAGAAGCAAGGGAACATCTCGACGCCAGGGTAAGTTCTTACTCCCGACTAAGTAGGCTAAAACGTGGTGTTTGATTTTATATCAAGCGCAGCCTTGCCCCTATCCTCGAGCGTGGATCAGTCATATATGTATTGGTGTTTACGGCCGGTCTGGTTTTTCCTCATCCCATCTAACATCAAAAGGGAAGCTCTTAAGGGCCAGAGCGAAACCGTCGTCGAAAATTTACACTTCAAGTGACTAGATGATTTGCGTTATTTCTTCATTCAAGAAGCTTTCGAAGTCGTTTACTCTGTACACATACTACGGCACCGCCTACCGCGGCACCCGAGCCTTTATATGGGGTTATACGGATTGGAAAGACAACGTCTCTACGCCTCCAGTTATAAATCTTAGTAAAAAGATAGGGAGTCACGGAAAGTGAGTCAGAGACCTTTAGGGCGTCACAGCTACAATTTCCGAAGCCCACTGTTGTTGTAATTGTTGCCTGTTCGGGGACCTGCCCAAATATACTACAGATGCCAATTCTACCTGACAAGCGTAGCCCTTCTATAATGACACCAAATCTCACCCGCCCACCCTACGAGGCCCAGCCATGTTCACCCATTTCCCTTACTATTACATCACATGCCCATTCAACTGCGTGTTGGCTTTGCTTCTCACCTCCCAATCCAATACATGGGGTTAATATCCTGCCTCGAGATTGCCTCGGCAACCTCGGCGTCGTTCAGGTTCTCCTGGTCGTTGAGAGCGTACCAGGGCGAGTCGTTGAGAATATAATACATCTGGCCCCGAGCAACATCCGGTGATGACTTGATGGTGTCCCCGAACTCGCTGGCCCACATCTGTGCCAGCTGCATCCACAGACCGCTCCGCGAACCAGCGTCCAGGCTACGCGAGAGGTAGAACACCGGTGTGTAGCTCCGATCAGACCTCGGGGTGAACTTCGCTCGAAAGGGGGGCGAGCCGTCCCTGGGCCGTAGTTGTTTCCCGGTCAGAGCAAAGTACTCGATACAGCTGTTGCACGGCTTGTTGCTCAGGAGAAGGGCGTCGATGATGGGATATGCGCCGGGAGAGTCGAAGGTCTGGAAGTACGTGAGCAGGAGGTTTTCCTCGGCGTGGTGCCCCTGCAACGTGTTCGTGGCTGCCCAGGTGTCCGTCTCTCCGCCTGCGAACAGGATGGCTGCCGAGAGGTCGACGTAGTTGGTTGTTTGCAGGCCGCCGCGCACGAAATGGTAGAGAGCTTCGACGAGGCCCAAGTGCCTGTAGCTCATATTCATCGTGTGCCCGCTCGAGTCCTTGATGCGAAAGCTCGGCAATTCAACATAGACGAACTGAGGCATGTTGGAGATGTGGTAAGATGATACTGGGTCTCTTTGTCACTCCCTGAATTGTCGGTGGCAATGATATCGTCACGATGGTTCTCTTGATAGTGGTCGTGGGTGCAGTTTGAAACCTTCAGCTCGATGCCGAATAGGACTGTCTTCCCTTCATGGCGCCGACAGCACAGACTTATATAACATGTATTCATGCGGATATATACGATTGAGGTCATGGTGCCTCACCCGGACGTAGACAATCATGGCGATGCTGTGGAGCAGAGTCCTTCTCTTCCTTTTGCTAGGCAACTTTCGTAATTCGACAGTGCAATTGGCGGGTAACTTACTGGCTGCTGACATATTCCTAAAATTAGATGGCATTAGAAATAGGGCAGTAGACATGATGCCCAAGAGCCGTGAAGAAGTTGACACAAAAGAGAGGATTTCGCTAAATAGGCTATTACGGACAAGTTTAGCTACTGGTCCGGCTCTTTTGTGTCTCGTGCCAGTCCCGGAGTATCACAGAGGGCTCAATGGCAGATTCAGCTAGTAACTGCCAACGGAAAGTAAGCTGATGAAGTATGGATTATGCCAGGACAGCACCTTGGGTGACTGGAATCTTACGAGCTTCTCGTGTTGGCAGTGAGGCTGAAAGACGGTTGCCGCGGCCTGCAGCTATAGGGCTGAGCCGCGGCTGGGGTGTGCAGAATCGCTTAATCGGCCATTCATAAGCCTGTGATCTCGAGGAAAAGGGCAAAGTATTGGATGATGATCCTGGTAGTGCAGCCACAAGCGCCTTATAGAGAGACGGGTGATGTGGGTTAAGAGTTAGAGAGTCAGAGTGTTCGCAGATGCAGGTACTGTGTGGCAGCGGGACATCCGCACCCGCACCCGCAACACATGGCGCCACTGTTCACGATGGCATCACCATTCGAAAATGACGAAGGACAATGGCAGTCACACTCCACATGCAGTGATTCAGAGCGACTGTGTCGACCGCCAGCAAAAGTATCGACTGTCGGACCACGATGGGCAGAGCTAGTGGAGGTTTGTATGTCTATAATGATTGAACCCCTATTCCCCAGATGCAGGAGATAGGAGCCGCGGTTGGCCAAGCACATGTAGTGCCCAATCCCCGCGCCTACTGAACTTCCACGGATCATGGTTTTGTTCATGAGCATCAACATCGAACCCTCACTTCCAACTGGGACGGTGGACACATTACAGGTGTCGGATTCTTTGACGTCACCTGGCGTGTGCATTCAACTTCTCAGCAGCCAGAGGCCTCGCGCTTATGTCATGCCTTCCTCCCACTTGCACCCCTGGATAGGCCGCAGCCAATGGTGATGCCCACCAAGCGTTCCCGGTGGTTGCCGACTCCGATGGGATGAGGTTCTGTTGTGAACAGGGACAGACTCGGCAGTGACGTCGCATGTCCAGTGTTGGTCCAGGTCCCCGGATAGATGCTATCCATCCATCATCTGTCATCCATCATCTATTCAGCGCTCCTGGTGGCCAGGTCATTCCCGTGGGGATGGGATCGAAATGCCATGCCGGTCAGCTCCACGTGGTGGGCGAGGGTTGAAGCGCGGCAGACGGCCAGATGGTCGAGAGGCGCACATGAAACAATACCTCGCCTGTCGGTTCAAGTGCATCAGTACTAATTGGCATCGGCAGTCTCAGCCTCTCAGGCCTCCAGTCGCTGCACCCAAGTGCTTACTGTCATGGCCGATTGCCCGAGATAGACGCCGAGCAAAAGGCCCATGAGCCAGACAGTACCATGCAGATGGACGCCAATGTCTTTTTGTTGTGTCCTTGGAACGAGTACGGCCTTTTCTCGTCGTTGCCGGCCACATGAGATTTGATTTGCCGTACAGTACTCTTGGTGGCGTTTTCATCGTGCCCAGGGGCATCTGGACCGGGGACGTGTAGACTGTTATCGCCATGTCGTTTTTTCGATTGCACATTGGCTTGCCACGTATATATAGCTCGGAATGTGCCCCTATTAGAAGCAATACTCCTCGACATGCAGATGGATCCCCTGCGCACCTGTTCCTTTATGCACAGCACGTTCATCGCTCAGCTTTGCGATGCTGGTCCTCACTTTGGCCACCAGAGACTGCCCGCCGCATACAACCACGCCAGTCTCGCCTCCAGTAGCTTCGACTGACCGTCTGACGAAGCCAGCGATATCGGGTCTGCATGCCGAATGATGTATCTGCGAGCCAGAGCTGGTTTCCGAGAACCCCTCCGGCTGATGTATCCGCCCGGACGCAACTGTCCCCATCTCTTCCGACGGTACCGTGCTTTCTGAAGTTGACTTCTTCTCCACGCTTGTCGTGAACGCCGCAGATACTGGCAGAGACACTGCGGATATCGTTTCCAGTTGCCCGCTGCCCGTCACAGCCACGTGTACTGCAAGTTCGATAGCCACCGACTGGGCCCTCTCAATCGCTTTACGTAGACGTTGATGGTAGAATCCAACCTCCTCTCCTTGCCTCGCTATCAATAGGAAATCGACACGCTTTGTGCATCCTAGCGACCTGGATTGCAACACGCTCTCCAGAATGGGGAGGGTGTAGGAGGCGCCCGTCGACGCCGAAATGAGCACCAACGTCTCGAAAGCATCCCATCGCGGAGGGCGGCCATACGGGCCTACTACCATGGATGTCACGGTCTCCTTCTTGTCCGAGGCCTCGAGCTTCTGCGCGAACGCGTTGAGCCTTTTCGAGAAGCCCGAGTGGGACCGCACCACCAACTGGATGCTGTTGCAGATGCAAGTCTCGGGCATCGGATGAGACGAGGCAATTGTATATGGATGGGTTTCGAATGCGCCCACGCGAGGCAACCAGAGGTACAAGTGTTGCCCTGCAGTCCACTTGAAGTGTACATCCTTGATGGTCAACACGGTCGTCGAGTCTCCGATGCGCGAGATCTGTGTCTGGTGGCCGAAGCGTTGCCCTCCGGTACAGCAAGTCCTCTTGGGGTTGAGCTTGATGTTCTGCCACACCAACAGCCCCAAGCGACAGACGCGGTCGAAACAGATGGCAGCTATGGCGAACCAGACGTTGTACCTGGCGTCTGCGGGCACGTGGACGTACACAACCCACAGGAACATGACGGCGGCTATGATGTGCTGCATGACGAAGACCTCGTATGCCATGGCTCGGAATGGCTTGAACGAGGTTACGGTAATCCACAGCAGAATGCCCCAGGCGCCCATGCCATACGGGAGCATGCTGGACATCAATTTCATCTCCGCGTCGACAATGTCATACTTGACCCATTCCGTCCAGAAGTGCCATCCGTGAACGGTAGCAGTAACAAACATGGTCCGGGCGACCCATCGATGGAGCCAGTTCAGCCTTTCGTAGCTCGTGCCGGCGATCAGGCCGATGATGCTGGTCTTGGATGCCAATAGGTAGAGCAGCGGGACCTGTGTGACGGTTACCCAGGCATTACGATAGCCAATCCGCTCCCAGTAGTAGGCGTCGTCCACGATGACATTGCGTGCCATCATGTAGATGATGACAGCCCAGTATACGAGCAGGACGAGGACGCGACCCATGGGCGGCGGTGTCATCCACGACATGTATCGGATTGGGACGTACAGCTGTGGATAGCTCAGCTCCCTCCCAACAGCGGTCAAGGTGGCCCAGGTCTGTAGGAACCAGTTCGTCGGTCTTGTTGGGCACTGGACCGAGCTGACTTGGGAGGTACGTAGTCTAGGGCCGCGAGGTCAGTCGACAGAACGATGCAGGCTACTTGCAATAGGGGCGGCTCACCTCAGCCAGTTCTGAGCGTAGTTGATGATCCGTATGAGCAACAGCAGAGCGACGGCTGCTGCTACGAAATACCAATAGCCTTGGGCGAAAGCTATGTTGGTGGCTTGGAAGACATTGGTGCTGGTCATGGACGTACCGCCCATGTCGCCCATGTCGTCCATGCTGTGCCTGTGCTCTATACTTGCAGTCCTGAGGCCTGAATCTATCTCTCTCTCCTTGCCCTCGCACGGGGGTTTATACCCCGGGTGTGCAGCAGATCAGGTCCTGGGACTGCGGAATAGATTGATACTTCACCTCAAGAGTTGGGGAGGGCCGGTTGCGATGCTGCTCGACAAAGCCGGTCGTTGAGTCGGTCGGTTACAGCTTCAATGGGCGCCCGTGTACCAGTGGTGATGATGTGATCTGATGTGACGACAAATGCATATGGCGATGAGTGCAGAATAAAATAGCCAGTTCGTTGAAGAGAGCCTCAAGTCAGAAGCAAAAGTATGTTGTCAAGACAAAGTCCAAGGATTTGCAATGCACTTCTTTCGCCGCGCTGCCGGTACACTATGTCGGGAGTTGGATAGAAACGTGGGACTTTCACATGCACGAAGGCTAGGTATAATTGGGCTAGAGGAGAAGGGCCCAATGAGGAGCTTGAGGAAGACAAGATAAGGACTATCACCCGCAAGGCAAAACTTGCTCATGTAGGTATCCTACTTTAGATAAGTACCTGTTAGTAATCATCCTGTACATACATGTATGTGACTTGGATACTACACGTGTAGATGGTAAAGATCCAGATACACATCATGCACCCACCTTAGAGCCGCTTACTCGTGAGACCACCTGCCATCTGTGTCTCACGCTCGACATGAAACTCTCACGACACCCATTCAGGATGCCACTACTCCTGCCCACCTCAACCAGTGCGTGGTTTTGAGCAGGTTATTTCTGACAAGTTGTGACAGCAACAATATACCTTCCAAATCAATGAATGAAAGAGAAGTCCGGGTGTGAGCGGGAGAGGGGCTGAGGGGCTAGGTAAAGCTTGAGGCCACCACTGCCTGCCACAACATGCTCAAACAGCCTCAACCGACGCCTTTGCGGCCGCTAACCTCTTAGCTGATAGCGCTAAGCTTTGGTCTCCCCACCAGTCGGTAGGACCCAGACCTTGCCCCTCCCTGCCACGGCACGGACGGGCACGGTGCCACGGGCCCAGTGCTCCCACCTTGAAGATCCTCAATGTAACCCCGCACTCCACCAATATCTGTCGTCTTCAATGTTGTTGGACCGGTACTACCATATCATGACTTCAATATAGGCATCTGGTAGAAGATACCCAAGCTGCCAAAGGTATTAGTAGTAGTACAAGGTCGTCTTTTATTTGTTTGTTGCTTGTATACAATGTACGAGCTGACATGGTGGGATTGAGCAACGGAACATCCATGCAGGTACAACTGGAAGAGAAGGTAGAGGTTAAAGCCCGTCACTTCGCTAATAAAGTAAGTCGGTCTAGATCAGATCTTCCAAGTTCAAGCCTTCCATTCCACTTCTCCGCTCTTTACTCATGTGGAGGCGGCCCCTACCCTTGAATATCTTGCTCACCTCTATGCCTTAGGTACATACCTGGTCCTTTAGGTACTGTAGGTACCCAGGAGGTACCCGTGATGTTTGCTCTAGGTGGTTACTTTTTAGCTGAACTGTTGAGGTGTAAGGTGTATCTCAGGCCCAGTCGATAATATCTCAAAGACAGACCTGTCTCGCAGTGAGCCACTCGTTGTTGACTGTACCATCTACTTCATCTTCCACATCTTCCACATCCGGCACTGCATCACTTCAACTTCATCCTGCCCACTCCGACCAGACCAGGCCGACAAAGAATGCTGTCACTACGACTCGCTGCCACAGCGGCACTCCTGCTCGCCACCACGGTCCAAGCCCACTTCGAGCTCCAGTACCCAGGCCCCATCAAGCCCTTCGACGACGACACCGAGGGTTCGGCTCCTTGCGGTGGCTACACTCCCGACCTCGACAACGAAAATGCCGTCGACTTCCACGTCGACGGCGATGCCATCTCGACCTACTCCACGCACCCGCAGACCAACTGGCTCTACCGTATGACCACCGATCCCACTGCAAGCGGCAATTGGTCCCAGGTCTACGGCATCATCCAGCAGAGCGGTCCGGGAAATTACTGCACGCCTCAAGTCACCATATCCCATGAGTACGTGGGCAAGAAGGCCATTCTCAGCATGGTCGCGAGTGGCATCGACGGCTTGCTGTACCAGGTACGGTGACTCTCTGCTCTCATCCACCCCATGTGAATTCACCCGTTGCTGTATCTTCGTTACTGACAGTGCCTACCTGTCTGTCCAGTGTGCTGCCGTCAACTTCATCAACGGAACTGGCAACGCGCCGTCGGTCTGCACCAACCAGTCCAGCGTAAAAGGCTCGTACACCAACGATGCCACACTGACCGCTCTGCTCGGCAGCAGCAGCGCCAGTAGCGCCAGCAGTAGCGCATCGCCCTCCGAGACGCCCGGCGCTGGTGTTTCGATGCGCGCTGACTCGGTCGAGGGGCTTCGTGCTTTGGTCGCTACTGGGGTCATGGTCGTTGTTGGTGCAATGCTAATGGTGTAAGCACCGACGACGAGGTCTGCACAGTTCTACACGAGAGCTTGGCGTTCTTGCTGCGAAACTACTCATATAATGATGCCATAGAATCCTCAGGATGAATCCCAGGATCTCTGGGATAGAACGCTTACGATAGAACATGGAATTGGAGATATCCATCAATACTGCTGCTACTACTATCGCCTCTCCCCGGTGTTGCTTCGTCATTCATCGACGTGAGCTACGCTGAACCCTCATTTGTCTCCGTACACGACCCTTCCAGCAAGCAACGGTATAATCATCAAATCGGAACAAGCACTTCAATGTTTATTGACCATGCTTGACGCTTATTTTTAAGGCGTTTATTTCGGTATCTCTAACTATCTTACTGGTGGTCTAAAATCTTGCCAGTATGCGCGTACGGAGACTTATGAGGGCTGAGTGTACTACTATCGCCTCTCCCCAGTGTTGCGTCGTCATCTATCGACGTGAGCTGCTGGTCAAGTATCAAGCAAGTAACATGGGGTCTTGTAGTGGAATGCGTAGTCAGTCTGGTATTTTATCAAGCCGCAAACGTAATATGGCGAAAGCTGGGCTTGTCAGAATATCATGCCAACCGTACATCTGCTACGAAGTGGCTCCCTGATGAACCCAATCATGACTCGAAGATTGCAGGGGCTTTAGGACGCACTCTACCAAGTCACAAAGTTGGACGGGAAGCAGCCCATAATACCAATTATCTCGAAGACCCGTCTCAGAAGTCACGAAGCAGTTTCCCTAGCCCTATCTTAAGGGGGCGTGCAGGACCTCTGGGACGAGATCGACTGGCTGTTTCCTCAACAACCCTTCGCTATTGCTGTCTGAACCTCTCTCGGATGAAGGGTGAAGAGGCGATTTTCCATGTAGTGCTCGGAAAAGCTCACGATGAGAGCCGGTTAGATCTCCTACCGTGCTGGCTTGGCACGCTGGAGGAATCATCAAGCTGACAGGGACAGACGTATCTTGTATTCTCCACCACCTTGAACGTCTCAATTTCGCAAACCGCCGGGTGCTTCAAAGGCGCAGCAGACATATCGTCGTTACCTAGCAGTAGAGTTCATGATTCGTCGAGAGGGGGTGTACGGTAACGGAATTACACCTTGGCTTTCCTATAGGCACCAAATGTTGGTCCAGCCAACCACAGAAGAAAAGCCAAACCCCTCATTTCTACCTGACATCTAGTCATCATTCGTTGCTCATAGATAGTCATTCCATCTCATATTCAACATCGCGCTCAACCTTGTCTCCTTGTAGGTGAGTCCGATCCGCAGCAATAGCCAAAGCATCCAAGTTCGGGTCGGTTTGCTATTGATGCCTGAGTGAGAGACTATGCTTGGGCTCACTCTTGGGATGCATATCGTCGTCGCCTGCTTCCATCTCGTCCTCCCCAGCCCAGCTCTCGTGGTCCGATACATCCACGATATCAGTATTCTCCTCGACATTCGCTATCCTGACGACCGCCTCCCCTCCCGGAAGGCGTACCTCTGACGCTTCGACTGTCTCGGCAATATCGAGGAGGAGAACTTCCATGGGACAGATGTAGGCCACCTGCTTACGCTCACTCCAGGCCAAGACGTGTCCACACACGCGACCATAAAACCTATCGATCACCCATGCGCCTGAGTCGCCAGGAACCCCAAGTGAGTGGCCGCTTCGAGCGCCATGTCGGGGTTGTAGTCCCATAGTCGGATCCTCGTGCCTACTTGGCACGGGAGACCTCCCGCTCACCGAATACGTGTGGCTTGGGGAGGCTCGACCGTATATCTTGACAGAAGCGAGGGCCGGCAGGATTTGGCCGGTCTAGGGAGAAGGTCACAATCAGTTTCGACTCGCATTTTGACGAATCTGAAGACCGGGCTAGTACCTACCTGCAGGCCACTTGTGCGCGCGTTGCATTGCACTTCCAGTCCCGGCAGGGACTTTGCGGGGGCCACTTCTGTCGGCTGCAAGGTTTGTGCATAACTTGAAGCTTGAGGCCGGGCATTTCCGACGGCCACTCGAGGTATAAGGTTCTCATCGGGTAGTCTGTTGCCATGGAACTCAAATAATGCCCAGTCAATCTCGTGGACCAACCCGCTTTCATTCCTTCTCCGTATGCCTGACGAAGCATAGACCTCGCCGACCGTATAAGTATCCAGATGATCCTGGTCATGACTTAGTAATGCACACCTTGAACCACGCATGATTGGTGCTATGAGCATAAGTCATGTCTGGGAAGGCTTACCTCGTCCCTCGTTTCTGCTGAAGGATAAAAACCCTCGCTAACATCGTCGAGAGCAGGTTGGGTGATTATGTACCCTGCAGATTCATCATTAGCGGTATGACCCCAAACAGGCAGTAGGGCAATGTTCATGCAAGTAAGCGATCGCAACCATTTGATATGCCAAACTGACAGATGCCCTCTGTATCGCTCGGCTTGCAGGGAGGAACCCCACTCGGAATATCTACATACCATCTCCACAACCAGGCTCCACGCCAGGAATGTCCCCGGGCTCGTTAAACTGCTCATCTTCGTCATACTCGTCATCTTCGTCGTCGCTTGTAATATCCGTGGCCGAGAGCCCTGATTCCGAGTCGGAAAACTCGCATGCAAACTCATCGCTGCTGCTTTCCGCTGACGAATCTCCCTCTTGTAAATATGCCATACCTTGTGCTGCAGCACTGCTTCGGAAGGGGGAAACGTTGGTTCTCTTTGCGCCTCCCATATGTCCAATTAGTTCTTCGGGATTTTTGGAGGGTTGATCAGGGTCATCCAGCATATGATGCACCGTCATACCATAGGGCTTGTCGTCGACAATGATGATGCCTCCCAAAGTGACGGGTGGGAGATGCTTATCACCGATCCACGCGCCAATGCTGGCCCCATTCTGCGGCCTTTCCTGGTAACCTGGGTTCGCTGCGGCTTGTTCTTCGACTTCATTCGCGGAGCCAAACTCGCTCGTGGTCACGGAAGGCACGCTCTTGGCCATGCTTCGTGTCGTGCCTTTTCTGGATCTCAACACCGATCCACGACATACTTTCAAGGCAAATCCTTGCGTCCCATCGAACAGCACACCTAATTTCCTGTTCAGGATCGCCCGGACCTTATTCACCGATGTGCAAACAACGAGTACGGTCGGGCTGGTCTTCTGGGGGGATTCTCCAATCGATTCAAGTGATATTTCGACCGACTCGGGATTCTTGCGGTAAAAGTTTCGGAGAGCCATGTTGATCTGTGGCATGAGCATGTCGTTCCACTGGTCGACCACCTCAGTTGGCAGTGGCACTTGCGGGTACAATCGAAGCTTGGGTGTTTTCTCCCTGGTACGCTCGGGTTTGCTCTCGCTTGGTTGTGCTTGTACTATGTCAGTAATGAAACCTCCTACCAAATGACTGAGTGTTGCCTCACATTCTTGAAGCTTTTCAGGCTTAGTAGCACTGGCCGACGGCAACTCCTTCGCCGCTGGAAGTTTCACATCATATCCACGTGTTGTCGAAGGGCTCTTAGATGACCCAGGTAGCGAGGTAGCCGATGCACCTAGCTTCTCTCTCTGGGTTGAAGATGGAGGGGCGCGCTCTTCGCCTAGGCGATCATCCAGCCCACTGATACCGTCGAGTATGCAGCAGGCTTCCAGATATCGACTGGTTCTAACTTGTACCTGGCTGATGATCTCCTCGATGGACCCAGGATGAGCAAGCTCGCGATCAACTGCATTCCAACATGACTGAACGGCCCTCATGTAGGGTGTGCCGCATCTGATCGCTAGTTGCTCCAGGACCGACTCGGGGATGCTCGGAGAAGCTCGGTTGGGCACAAGGTTCTCAAGTGTGGTCCAGAGGCCAATCGAGATTAGCATGGTGGCCAAGGAGTACAAGTCAAGCGTCTTAGTATCGCTATTCGAAGCCAAGGGCGATTGAGTGGTAGTTCGGGGGTCAAGCGGATGACGGTGGAGCAAGAAGGCGTCGGATGATTGACCCGGCGCAGATGAGTCCGGGAAGACGTCGAACGAGGAGATCAGCGGACGTCGAATATCCACCTCGCCAACGGGCATGCCAGGATCGTTTCCGACAGGATTGCAAAAGGAAATGCTAGAGCCCTGCAGGTTACCATGAGTGATGTCTCGAGCGTGCATGTCAAACACCGTGTTCGCCAGGTTGTAGGCGAGTCGAAACTTGGCCTCAAGCGCGGGCTCGAAGTCCGGGCGGTTCAGCAGCTCGGTCAAGGTGCAGAGGTTGTCAAGCGGGTTCTGGGTCAGGTTCTCGAATGTGACAGGGTTGAAGGTGGGAGGGAACTGGTAGACCAAGGCCAGTCGCGAGTGCTCCATGTCCTCATAATAGCCAAGAAGAAGGGGGAGGCCTATCCATGTTCCAGGAGCTCGGTGAGACTCTGTCTGGAGCCCTGCGCTGAGCTTCTCGAAGCGGGACATCTCGGGCATGATGCCGGTCACGGAGTATATAGGGTCAAACTGGGCATACTCGACCAGTAGGGGCGACCAAGGCTGGCGCCCGGGCTGGTGGGTCAGGTCGGCATAGGCTTGCTTGGTCATGAAGAAGATCTCCTGAGGCCGAGGTTGGCTGACCTCGGTTTGCGAGATGGGCATGGCCTGCATCGACCTCAGACTTGTGAGGGTATTGGGATCAACTTGCTGAGGAGTCTGTATCCTTGTGGAGCCGAACGGTCGGAGGTCCTCCATGGACGCTTTGGACTTGGGCAGCCTCGAGGCAGCGGCGGCAGATGTGGCTGCAGAAGATCGTGTCCGTGAGAGGTCGCAGAGAGTATCAATGCTAGCGGTCAAGTCTTTGACCAAATCCTCAAACCTGGCCTTGTCCCAGACGACCAGGGCCGTCTTTCGATCACCAGTGACCTTCTCGGGCGCCTTCTCGCTCGCAAGGGGCCGTTTGGTAGCAAGCCATAGGGGCTCAGCTTCGGCAAGAATGTCCTTTATAGTAGCCATAATACTACCGACGAGGTCACTCAGACCGGCCTTGGACAGAGACTCGTCTATCTCGGCGGCTTGGTTGGGGTCAGACCATTCCAAGCCCCAGCTGACGAGGCGGTCCTTCTGTATTTTCAGTTTGCGGTGCATGGTCTTGATCTCAGGATCATCGGCAGCCTGGAGCGGCTCCTGGACGAAGTCTGAAGACTTCTTGGTGTCATTGTACAGCCGACTTAGCCGACGCTGAAAGGGCAGCTGGAAGCCGCCCTGCGGAATGAATGACTCCATGGCAGTATCTTACGTTTACTGTCAAGATGCGTGGTGTGGTGCAGATCTGGGCGATGCTGCTGGCGGCAGACGGCGCCGAGTGAAGTGCGGAAGGGCAGTCCGGAGACGCCTGCTCGTGACTTAGGTACCTAGGTAGGCAGTGTAGTATAAAAGCAGATGAGTGTTAAGCTGAGTGGGACGACTGGATCGAGTGCGGTGGCACCATGGCAAAGGCAGTTGGGGATTGCGCGCGAAGAATGAGGTTATATCAAGGGATTACTCTGCGCTGCGCTTGCGAAAGAAGACCTGGATGAAAGGGCCAAACAGATAAGTTAGCTGCTGCAGCACGAGGGAGGATGGTTTCAGGGTCGGCGCTCCGTAATTCGGCTGCCTTGAGGCCATCGGCGAGCGGATGGGAAATTTGCAAAGATATCAGGTTAGGTAGGCAGTAGGATGGCGAGGTCAAAATGTGGTTGCCTGCGAGGAGCGGAGCCACGATGCATAGGTACGAAGACTGCTCCTATCTCGGTGGCCGGTCGCATGCGTTTCGTATGTAATGCCGGGTGCGTGTGGCCCATGAATTACAGCGCATGGGTGCAAGAATGGAAGCTGAAGACTGAACGAAGTGTATATTTACTGAATGTTCCTTACCGTGGCCCTGATGATGCGAGGTCATCAACGCGCTGCAGAATGCTGCTGCCTGGTGGTGGTGGTGGTGGTGGTTTGGCAAGCCGCAGCCTCTTGATAACTTAAGTTAGATTGCAGCAGGGCCCGATGTGGAGTCGACGCCGGCCAGACAGCCAATCACCTCAATTACCTCACGCGGGGGGCACGAGCCAATCCCGGTGACGCACCTGCCTGCAACGAATGGTAAGATGCCGCTCATGGTGCCGGCCCGATAAACTCGTCTCCGGCAGCTGCCGCCTACCTAGGTCCACACCAAACCTCGTCTCCTGTCTGATCCAGGCAACGACACAAAACATCCAGCCAGCCAAAAAGGGCAACAACGAACGACTTCTTCCCATGGCCAGACTGCGTCTAAGTATGATCTTCGCGCATTTGAATATGAACCCAAGTTTCAAGCTCGGTCACGTTGCCCGTGGAAGGCCAGTCTCCTATCTGCACCCGGTAGGTTTCAGCTCTTCTGATCTTGGACTTCCAATGGTGGCAATGTGGATTATGTGGACGAACTAACGGCGGGGGCATAGATGTGGGACAGCCCTAGATGTGGGACAGTTTTCACACCAAAAGACCACACTTGCACCCACACATAACTCCATCTGGATTGAGGCTCTAGATAATATAAAAACAGCAAAAGAATCGCCTTTTCTTGGAATTTTCAGCAATACTAATTTTTGTCGCGGTACCGTGCAGGCTGGCGGATTGCGCGGCGCGAAGATCGAACCACAATGGGCTCCTCATCCTCCTCATCCTCGCTTTCGTCCCTTTCATCAACAACAACCCCTTTATTCTCAACACCCTCTAAAGGCTTAAATTCTTCTGAATCTGATAATTCAGGCGAGAGAGAGTCATCAGAGAGTGGTCTCTCTGATTCATTCGTGTGCAGGTTCTGCAATTCGGCCACAATTCGTCGTCTCTCGGCCCGCTGCTCGATCAAGACTCGTGCAGCCTCCGTTTGCTCGATCTGTTCCTGAATAACGTCTCCAACTCTCCATAGCCGTTGATTAGGCTCTTCTTGAGGTGCCTTACGGCGCTTTTTTGGCTATAGACGCTCTATTTCGGCGTCTTTTGCCTCCAGCAGCTCCTTTGCAAGGGCTAGCTCAACCACCATCTCATCGTACGACTTTGCAACCGAGCGTACTGCTGCTCGCTGCTCAAGGGTCTTAGCAACTGGTGATAGCATTAGGGCTATGTCCTGCCCTGATTTAGGGGCTTCTAGGGCCTCGTGGGTGGTCTCGGGGTCCATTATAGCAGCTGCTGCTGCTTGGATCTCCGCCGCCTTCACTACATGCTCGTTTGTCAACGTTTTTCATTGATTTACAGGCCAAAGCCCAGCAGTACGCCACTCCGAACGCACAATAGCCGGCGTAGCTTCATCGCGAGCTTTCGCTAGGCAACTGAGGAACTTAATCTTGCTAATAGGGGCCGAATCGTTGAGCTGGCCAAGCTGATTGATCAAGTGGCGGTAGGCGGCTTTAATAACAGAGAATACTGTCAAATCCAGCAGCTGGAAGATATGAGACTATCCCTATTAGCAAAATAATTACTAACTGATCATCTAACTTACCGTATGAGCTGGAAAAAAGCATATATATACGTTGTTAATGTAGCAAAGATATATAAACTCATCCGAGCAGTGGCTGCCATAGCCATCTAATATTAGGAGGCAAGAATCATCGGGATCTTCAGGAGCTGTATCAAGGAGATATACCTGAGGCTTATTAGCACGTAGTTAACGAATAGTACTCGTTATTTACTCGCCTTTTCAAGCCACTCCAACGCGATCTCGTTCGAGGACCAGCCGTTAATGGAGTACGTCACTATCCACTCTGCCATCGCGGGATGCTCAATAATGAGCTGCTCTTTAAACCACTGAGTCTGTATCGACTTTGCCTTGAAAATAACGAGCAGCCGGAGCTTCTTCCCAGTGGCAGTGATCGATTCGATCACTGTAGTCCACGTGCGGTTGTCGTTAGACTTGACGTTGGCCCCTTTTGAGCCAGAACTACCTATTACAAGGCCATCAGACCTATTATCGGCCCGGTCAGCCGTCCAAAAAGCACTTGGATTGGGCGCTTACGTACTGCCAGCCCTGCATAATGCCGTACTTATCGATATTTGTCCAGTTCGCGGGTTTGATGAAGGCGAACTCCTTATAGAGATCATGGAAGCCATTGATGTTCTCGGGCGTGGCGGCGTTAATACGCTTGTAGTCCAGCTTTCTGCCTATTTTGGTCTTTATCTCTGGGTGCCTGCGGATGAAATTTCGCATGTATTTGCCCCCTAAATGATCTGCCCTGCCCTCAGACTGTAGGATCTTCCGGATGATGTACCTTACATTGCCGTGAGTTGGCGCGTGGCCAGCCTTTTTTTGATAGAGGATCCATGATATAACCCGAGTTTCTTGCACAGGGCTTAACTTTTGGCTCTTAAGAGCCCCCTCACGGCTAGTCAGCGTTGGGCGCATCGTGGTGCCGTCTACCTTCGGCGCGAGAGTTGATTTTGGTACTCCCCAGCGCTGATGCGCCTTGCGGAGGGATATGCCATCGTTCACAGTGGCAATTGCCTCTGCGAGGTCTTCTGGAGTATACGAAGGAGACATTTCAATGTACTGAAGCCTATAATGCTGACAGAAAAAAAAGAAAAAAAAGAACAACAGAACTTCTGCTACAGTGAAGGGGATAGGGGGCACGGGTCCCATTACCCCTCAGATTAGGGCCGGGAGTGCTAACTTCCGACCCCCACAGCGGCCCATCCCGCAGTGGTAAACCTGATGAAACCAGCACTGCTGAAAACAACAAGAAAAGACGATTTCAATGCAGTATTTACGATATCTAGGGCTTCATTGCCGGTAGAGATATGTGTAAGTGAACATTGTGATGTTGGGTGTGAAAACTGTCCCACATCTAGGGCTGTCCCACATCTATACCCCCGCCGTTACTGTGACTGTGGTCTGGTGAACGAGTCCCTGCGCACGATTTCAGATTGAGTCTTTGGTGGCCCGTGTGTTCATTCATCGCCTCTCACTCACAGGAGTTGGTTGGTTGGTTGGTTGGTTGCAGTCTTTCACTCACTGGAGTCTGACACTCACGGGCACAATGCCCATTCACCCCGTCAAATCCATGAAAGAAACGCACCTATCCCCTCTGACAAGTCCCATTGTGATTCACTGATATGCTTTGTCACGCAACAATCGACCATTGTAATGATAGAAACAAGCCTATTGACGTGTATTTAACCCACGATGGCTTCGCTGTAGCTCGAACGTAGGTGCTGGCGAATATCATCTATCGACACAGTCAACACAATCAACACAACCAGACAACGACGACGACATACAACAAGCTCGTGACCCCCAACGCTGGAGTCTCGGTTCGACTCCCCAACCCTCGCCATCAGAAACCGAGAGTCTAGCGTGACAGTTCGAGCACCACGACGGCACCGGCATCGTCTGCAAACCTCGGCCTAGTCTACTGTAATTCAGTCAGCTGCGAGCTTCCTCCATTCTCCTTCGTCCCCTGCCTGACCCTTGCAGACCCAGCAGAACCGACCTACCTCCGTCATGGCACCTGAAACAGTCACCGTGGGCGGCCACAAGCTGGAGATCCCCGACGAGCGACGCTGCTGGCGGTTCAAGTTCGAATATGGCTGCGAATGTACCGGAGAACCTGTCAAGTGGAAGCAAAACAGCCATCGAGGGTCCTGTCGCTTGAGGGGTTGCAAGAAGAGCGAGGCGTCTTTAAAGTTTCTAGAGTCGTGCAATAGATGCCGGATGTACCGCCTTACAGTTGACCATCGCGTAAGGGACTATTAACCTTGTCTCAGGAATGGAACTCAGGACTTTATGGTGCAGGGGACTCTGGCATCGCCATCGGCGCCAGCGCCGGCTCTTTTAGGGATTGCGGTTCGAGACTTCGACATTACGGGATAGGTGGTTGAAACACATTCTGAAGGGATAAGCTGGACTTACCAGCACTTCGCATGATGTACTTACAGTGTTTCATGTACGCATTGCATCAATTCAACACCGCCTATACAACACAATCCTTTCACGTATCTCGTGAGTTTTTCTGCGAAATGAGCGACCCTGTCGGTGGGTAGGTGCCAAAATACGATCCACACCCTGCGAAATATAGAGCGCGGACGGATCTCCCTAACCATCTTAGAGAATCAGTTGGGTCCCCTTAACGAATCACTGACTTCACGAAAGCCTCCCGACTTATAATAAAAGCAGTTCATGGTCTGATCCGTCTATAACTTTTAAGTATAGCAGTCGTTGCAGACCATGCCCAGTAGTCAGACTGTAGACCTAGCTATCACAATGAATAAATGAAAGATCTGCCAGCAGAACATCAACAGTCCAGTAGGCTCTCAAAGTTTCAAATACTGCTGTGGGATTTAGCGTAGTGATAACCTTCAATATATCTCTTGTGCTCTTAGACATCATTCATATCGTGGAGTGGCTTTGCGAAGATAGGCTTTCTTGACCCTGAGTCTCTGGTTATACTGTCGTCGAGAGAAATCGCCCCCTGAGTGGACATATCTGCGTGGTAGCGTAGGCATGCGTAGTTGAATCACCATTGGTTCCTTCCAGTCGAAGAACATAGCTTGCAACTCAGTTTTACACTGACACGGCGACAAAGTTCTTCGTCGCCCAAAAAACTATAAAATCCAAACGCAATAGTTCCCGAACTCCCTTGCCTCTAGTTCCCCTACTGCCATTCTACAACTTCTGCACACTTGGTTCTAACCTTACAAAAGAAAAACCATCATGCCGGCATCATCGCCCAAGCCTAGTAAATTTCCGCCAACAGCTCCCACTCCGGGTGCTTCTGGTGCCAGTTCGCTGCGCGGTGGACCGCCGCAGCCCTTGGCCCCCGCCCAGGCTGCCGCCGGCACCGGCGGCAGCCTGTTCATACCACTCGAAGCACGACATAATGCGACGCTAGATGACCTGGTTATGAACACCGATAACAACATATGCTATGAACTCTCGCAACACTACGCCTGTGGGCACACCAGCGGTATAAACGAACTGCTCCTGAGTAAACGGCACATACACCAGATCGGCTACGGGCAAGCTTGCAACGGCTGCTCCGTCGATTATACGCGGCGGCTAGTCCTGCCACAGAGATGTCCCCAGTGTGCGGGCATCGAGGAATGCCTGTCTGTGACCATGAAGCATGCCTGCGGCCACCTGGCCGGCGTTCAAGTTTCCCCAGGAGCCCGTCATGGCCGGCTGCTCGGTGCCCAGAATGCTTGCAATTCTTTTTGCAAGAGCATCCAACTCGACCAGCACATTGGCGGTGGCTGCTTACAGTGCACCTCGACTAGTTGTGCCATGATATGGGAACTGTATCAATGTGGGCATAGGGGCGGAGTCGCAGCCCAGCACGTGGTGGGACACCATCACGTTCTGTATCTGGGCAGCAGCAACGCTGCTTGCGATGCGCGGTGCCAGTTTGAGCACAAGGACCGTATTGTTGGCGACCACTGTGCCAAGTGTAAGCCGATGATGACCCGGATGATGACGGCGGCGACGCCTGGCCAGCCGGGCGAAGGGTGGGGGTCCGCAGCAGATAATTATCTATCAAAGAAAGACAGGTATAAAAAATTTAGATGGTGAAGGGACACGCAGTTTTTCGAAGGGGGAAGTATTACCATGATGCGGAATTACTTGAGCGCAGGCCATAGCAATCCACAAGTTGATTCAGCAGACGAGGTTGTAGAAACGCTGCGATGATGTACCCTCGTGACGATCTAGTGAGGACAAGTAGGACCGCCAACGAGGCGATGTTGACCTGTCTTTGCCAAGTTGACAGCAGCGACGATGTACAAGGCCCTGCCGAGCAGGGGAATACATACAGGCTCCGGACCAAGCACATCGCCAGGGCCCCGTGGGCCGTGTGACAAGATGGAAAATCACCACCCTGTTGTAACACAGACCCATCCAGCGGACAACGTCGCCAAGGTCGCACTGGGGCCAGCAAACAATCGTCCGGAAAGACGCGGGATTTGGGGGTAGATATGGCAGTCGGATACTCCCTGCCTTGTACGAGGTCTCAGGACTTCGGCAGCAGATGGTGTGCGCCATTACTGTTTGACTTGAAGATTCAGATGTCCCCCTCTCCGGAGTCTGGCTACCCGCAGGATCAGGCCAGCTGGTGTTCGCTGCTGCCGCCCCTCGTAAGTTCAACCTGTACCGGCTGAAGACCGATCGATATACCGCTCGTGTTCGAAGACCAGGGGGTGGTGCGGGCACCCGCGAGGCTGCGTGCCGTGTACGGTTCCCTAACCAGCCCCCCTCGGCTGCTTGCAGAGCCTTGCGGCATCTCGGGGTTGCTGTTGTGCCACCCACCACGGATCAAATATCCATAGGTTGACATGCAGAGATGGGCACACGAACTGGGAGGACTATCACTGCGTGTCGGAACGCTGCAGTGGTTCCAGGGTCAAGGTGGGAGAGCGGTCAAGACAATTGGTCTCTGGAGCTGGGGGCTGTGAGCCGACATGTTGTGGCCTGGGTAGGGAGTGCACAGGATCTATCTATTTCAGCGTACTTGAGGGGTCTTTAGTATGGAGGCTGGGCATGTCCAGACGTGTCCGAAGGAGGCGTGTGGCAGACGAGCAATGAGCCGTGAATGCGCAGACGCAGGTCTCAGCGGCATGTATCAAGTGTCAGAGCTGGCCACGGCGTCCGAAGAGGCGTACTAAGCACCTTTTCGTGCCGCAGAGCAAACGGTCTGATATATTCACTAGATTCACGTAGCTGTCTGTAACCACACTTCCGAGGGAAGCAAGAGACACCAAGCACGAGCGAGCATCCTACCCGACCAGACCAACACGCAGCAGTCCCCAACAGTATGACTGACCAGCAGACCGCACCGGCGTTGACGACGCGGGCGCAAGCAAAGGACTTTCGCACCCAGACCGTGACAAGGCCTGACCTCACATTCACCACCACTTGGACGCTGGGAGGTGGCGCAGGAGAATCGACAGAGACGCCAGCCACCACCGTCGTACCGGCCCCGAAGGCGTCGGGTCCACGCCCGGACAGCGTTGGTGCCATCCTCAGTGCTGTCGTGGTCCTGGTTGTCGTGGTCTTGATACTATGGGTCTGCTGTCGACGAGGTAAGCTAGGATTCAAGGGATTCTCTGGTGTCTTTGTCGAAGTCTGCTGACTTGATTGCGCAAAAGGCCGCTCCCCATCTCGACGTTCTAGGAGTTCCAGCAGCCGCCGCAGCGGATCGAGCTACACCAGCAAAAGCAGCTCAAGCGGTTCGGGCAGATCGGGCGGCTCGTCTCACCAAGGTGGTAGCGCTGGGTCGGTGGCAAGCGAGATGATAGAAGAACAGTGGGATCAGGGTCAGCCAATGCCCGGAATGCCTCCTCCCGTAGCCGGAGGTTGGGCTGGTCCCCACCCAGGTCATATGGGCACTCCACCAGGAGCTGGTATGGGTTTCCAAGCCGGTCCCGGTGGCCCGCCTCCGATGTTGGCACGTGGGAACGGACCTCCGCCTGGTTTTGGAGGACCGCCGCCAATGATGAGCCGTGGCGGACCTCCTCCGCCTATCTCTTGATGATGCTCATTGGAAGCAGTATGTTGAGCAGGGCGCTGGTGCTCCTCATGATGGCGGGGAAGAGATTTACTTGCTCAGATGTAACAAGTTTTTTAACACCTTCAGGTGGCAAACGCTGGCAAACGCAGGTGAACGAGTTATGACATGGTCCCTTCAAAGGCTTTGACACACAGCACTGCTGCAACAGCAGCGATACTCCCAAAAATGACCATCCGAACGCCTTCGCAGATGCTGTGCTTTATCCGTGGCCATTGGGCCAACTGCGTTGTCACCTTGGCCCGGTGCCAGTCCTCCATCGCAGGTCGAGCGTGCAACAGATAGTCCTTGACGAAGCCGAAGATGAACAGAGCAAGGACGCAGATGCCAAAGCTCCAACGGAGCCCACTCAGGACGTCATCCACGAAGAAGTACGGGCTGAGTGGTAAAAGCCCGCCTAGCAGGTATCCGACCGAGACTGAGCAACCGATGAGTATTGGCGAGGGGCCTCGTGGTTTCGCAGGCTCTCCATCATGCGCCCAAGCCTGTTCAATGCACGATCGTAGCTGACCTTGCTGGGAGGAAGCAACGTGAGACAGCACGGTCTGGATGAGTTCTGCAGGTAAACACAACGGAGCCAAGTATTGCTCGACGGCTTGTTGCCGGAGGACCCGGCCAGATCTCTCCTGGTCTTCCTGGCAGCGGCAGCAGCCGTCGTCATCATCTGGGCCTGACATTTGCGCTCCCTCGGCTGCCAAGTATCCGCCAATGCCCATGCTGATGCAGCCTGCGCAGATCTCGGCCATGCCAGCATAGATGACGGTGTCGGTCTGCCCCAAGGATGAAAGCCCAGCGGTCAGGGCAAAAGGTACCGTCAGACCATCGGCAAAGCCCAGGGTGAAGTCGGCAAGAAATCGGGGAAGCGAATACTCCGATGTCTGTGACGGACGACCCGAGGGGCGGTCTTCAGAATAACAGTATCGCTTCGACTGTCGTAGCCCACTGTCGCGTAGATCGACGTCGAGGATGCCGTGGGAAGTATCGTGTAGGCTAGCGAGTTCTCCCTCTGACTGCTGTTGCTCGACTGCTGTTGCTCCCATGCCCGACCCCTCAAAAATAGGAGTACATTGCGTATGTCCATGATCGGCTGTGATTATGGTGTTGGTGTTGGTGTTGGTGTTGCTATTTCCCATGCCAGAGCGACTCGTGTTATGCAGAACCGCGTGCACGACACTTCGAGTAGTGCAATCTCCGCCTCGGATGACTTGTTATGCTCAAGGGTAGCCTGGCGTTATCTACCTAGGTACACAGAATGGACCAAGGCAGGATGATGGCCAATTGAGATGGTGCCCGTCTGTTTTCCTCTGCAGTCTCATCCATTGGGTCCCATCAGCCATCAGCCATCACCATGATCCATGACACCCTCCAAGCTGCCAGAATGCACCGCCAACATACATGTAACTAGCACGTCCCCTTCGTCTGGCACACAGAGTCTGCGTGTGGCAATAAAGTGACGGTGCAGTCAAGACAGGCAGGCAGGCAGGCCGGTGGCTTCCACAAAGGTAGGGTGGCTCGGCAATAAGGTCGGCGATCACCCCCTGACTCCAGAGTGGGTTATCTCCTGAACAAGCATTTCGTGGCGAGAGACTCCGAGATCCCCGGCTGCGGCTGCCAATGCCGGGCTGCAGAACCTGCACGTGCAAAACTCAAAAGACCAGTCATGGTAGCCGCACACAGCACGCTGAGTCGGTGACGGAGCACCTCATCTCGTCGGGAGGGGGTTATCTCGCATCGCCCGACCGCCGGCGAGAGGACATCGGAGAGCCCCGAGCAGTAATAAGAGCGAGCCGTGATGGCATGAGGGGGTACTTCTTACCATGTCCACGTGCATATGAGATGCATGCATCAATGTCTATCCACCTGCCCGAAGAGCTGTCAGTGTGTCATCGGTGGCGACGTCCAGCCTCTCGGAGAGCAAGCCACAACACCACGGGAGACGCGGTGCTACGGCTAAGCACACCGGTGTGCTCTGAGCGCCTCTGCAGCCCGAATCCTTGACGGCACATCGTTCTGTAGTGTCCTGTCCTGTCCTGTCGCCCCGTATGATGGTTCATCGGTCAGGCGGAGGGCAAGATGGATGTCTCTGAGTCAAGTAGGCAACAAGCGCGGTGTGTGGTGGTGGTAGTTGGATCAAAGCCGCGGAAATGAGTCGCCCTCTCCCAAGTCTCCAACATCCATGTCCGCCAATGACCATGGTGACTGCGGCCATGTGTGGTCGACTAGCAAGGTTCCAGTAGGTAGGCTACCTACCCTGCTGCTACAGTACCATGCAACATCACCCCCGATGCGGATGTGGCCGCCGAGGCGTATCCCGCATTGCATACAGACATAAGTTGAACATGTATCGTGCCAGGTGCCTCGGCAGCGAGCTCCCACGAGTAAGTTCTGCTTCACCGTGGCTTCTGTCAGCGTTCCTCCACCCAAGGCATCCCGCCTCACTGTCAACATGCGGTCCTCGATCGCGTCCATCATACTCCTTGTGGGCAGTGTTGCCGCCCAGACCGAGAACACCTACACCGCGACGGCCACTCGATCGGTTGCGGCAGCAGCGGCCACTGCGAAGACGTCGAGTCCCACGAGCAATGTCAAGGGAAAGGCTTTTGACCGGCTGGCCATCATCTGGCTGGAGAACACCGACTACGACATGGCGAGTGGTGACCGTGAGTCTGCGACTTATACACTTCTCATAAGACATAAGACACGGGATAACTGACAGAGAGCTTCCACAGCGAACTTAGCATGGCTGGCCGGAAAGGGCATCACGTTGTCGGGCTACCATGCCGTCACCCACCCGTCCCAGCCAAACTACATCGCATCCATCGGAGGTGACTACTTTGGGATGAACCATGACGACTTCACCCAGGTCGACAAGAACGTCTCGACTGTCATCGACCTGCTCGAAGACAAGGGCATCTCCTGGGCCGAGTACCAGGAAGACATGCCATATTCCGGCTTCGAGGGCTTCTCGTACGTAAACCAGCAGAACGGTAAGAACGACTATGTTCGCAAGCATAACCCGGCCGTCACCTACGACTCGAACGCCGGCGTGGTCGATCGCCTCGCTGTCATGAAGAACCTAACCCTGTTCTACGACGATCTGGAGAGTGAGACGCTGCCGCAGTGGATGTTCATCACCCCAAACATGACCAGTGACGGTCACGACACAGACGTCACCGTCGCCGGAACGTGGACCCGGAACTTCCTCGATCCTCTCCTCGACGACGCCCGCTTCATGCAGAACACGCTTGTGTTGGTCACGTTTGATGAGAACGAATCATACAGCCAGCAGAACCGAGTCATGGGCATCCTTGTCGGAGACGCAGTGCCCGCGGAGCTGGTCGGCACCGTAGACGACACATACTACAACCACTATAGCGAGGCTGCCACCGTCTCGGCCAACTGGGACCTGCACACCCTCGGACGCTTCGACGTTGGTGCGAATGTATTCCGCATGGTTGCCGACAAAACCGGCGATGAGCTCCGCGCATGGGCCGGGGAGTTTGAGCTCGCTGACATGTACTTCAACAGCTCGTACGCAGGTGCTCTGAACGACGAGGGCGGTAACAAGCGGTTCCCCAGACCCAACCTGGACGGCCTGGCCGGGAGCAAACGTACGGTGCTTCCCAGTATCCGGGATGCTTGGGAGGGTAACCCGGCTCCGGTGTACTACACAACTGGCTTGGAGACACCCGACGGACAGCACCCCCCCGCCGGCTATGCTCCGAGCACATGAGCTCTACTGTACATAGAAATAACAAACAAGCATGTATTCCCCAAAGCTACTCTTTTCTTCTGTCCAAATTGCCGTTCTGCACTCCATGTAGACAGACCCACGCCGTGGCGACCGAAGGCCCGGATGCATCTCAAGTATCCGTACACTGCCCCGGCCTCACTGTTCTGTAACTTATCTGTAACTTACCCACCAGCCACCCGGTAGTATCCTGTCTCCCGTTCGGGCGTCCCTTTCCCGTGTATATAGCCCAACGGCATGCCGGCATAGGGGTCTACTCGATTTGACTTCCACGAACATCAGTTGTCAGCGCTTGCTTGCCTAGGTGCACATGTAGTGCCACCTCTGACAAGGTTGCAAATTGACAGGCGGAATGAATGGCCGAATGGACCTGGGGAATTGACCACATCCATGTTACAAAGTATGGCACCATAGAGCATTAGGAGCGGCATATTGACAGGTGTCAAACGAGACCCTTGTAGCTTTTTATCTGTCCTGATCCTATCACGCCTGTGCCAATCCTGCGAGAGGAAACTGTCGCGTTCCAGCTCATTCTTTGTCAATGCCTGTCTATACCGAGTACGCCCAGTTCCTTATCTGCTAGCCATCTCAGCCGACTTTTCATGGCCCACGACCGACACAATTCTAGTGAAAGACCTTATACGGGCCATGGCTTCGCAACACCATACGATCCATGCCAGCGTAACAACTCTGCCAGAAGCTCATGCCTAGAGCTAGACACATAAACGGCATCCAACGCCACAGCCGACCCAATCGGTGGCGGACAAACTCGGAGGGGCAAATGACAGTACTGCGTGTGGCAGCGTTCATCACAGCCCTCTCCACTTCGATCGCATCGGTCTTGCAAATGCAATCTCGCCCGGCGCGCCTCTCCCTGTCCAATATATATGTTGCCTGCCAGGCCAGCGTTCCACTTCGAAATTGATGCACCCATGAGGAAGGTTCGGGCCAAGACTGGATGACTCCAACCAAACAATAGACGAGAAATTATGCATTACAACCCCCGCCACCTTCGTCCTCGGCCACATGAACCGCAACTATGGCGTAAGCTGCAAGCCAGGAGCCGGATGACAGGAGCATCTTCGTTGCCACCATGTCGTATGCTCGTTGGTATTGAAAGAAGTCCCACCAATGCCGCTATGCAGACACCTGAACGCCGTGGCCGAAAATGCAGGAAGGGAAACTTTGAAAATAGGTGACCAATGCTAAGAATGTCCGAGACGGTCAAAAGCATGATACGACCAATGCCCACGATATTGTTGAGACTGATGGGATGATTTCAAGGGTCATCGGGTCAAAAGTACTCGACTGAGTACTCGTCTTCCAAGTCCCTTCTCTGCCCCTCAAGGTTTGGTGCATGAGGGGACTCAACTTCTAATCGCTGTCGCAGTATGAGCATCTGGCCTGAACGGAAAACGGTCTTGGAGATGCTGGACGTGGTATGGAGCTGGGTCGGCGGACGTACCAGCAAAGGGAAGGTAGCCTGCCATCGACGCCGGAGAGGACGACCTAGCGGTAGGCGTGGTAGAGCTCGAGGGGCTGAAAGATTGACGCGATACTGAAGGCGGGCTGTGTAGTGGAGACTCAGCGGGAGAGCCACCAATAGCCACAGGTATGTATCCGTTCTGAAAGTACGGGTTCAAGTTCTGGTGTAGGGTATGGTGTACAGCTCCACGATGAGGCCTTTCGGCCATGTTGGGGCTGCCATTGGAGCTCGAGGTGTAGCTGATGGTCCCGTGAGTCGTAACCTCATCCATGCCATCGTATCGACCACTCGGCAAGGTTCCGTCCTTCATCTGTGGGCTAGACTGCTTCGAACCATTGAACTGCAGTAATACAAGCGTTAGTCATGTATCGGGAAGAAGGCTCCCCGTGGTCTGACGCTGCGTCCGCGAGTGTCCGGGCAATCACCGGAGTTACCTACAAAGCAATACTTGTTGAGGATCTCTTCGTACGAGGACGTGGCTATGCTGGCAGAAGCAGGGGAATCCGTTCCATTGGGCTCGGGCGCAGCAGATGTCGCCTGTGAATCAGCTGCGTGAGTCGGAGGTGGGTTGGTTGCAGATGCAACTTCAGCCTTCTTATTAGGTTTCATGTAGAGACCATCACTCCCTGGGCTGGGCTCCTTGTTGGCCTTCCTAGTTGCACCAAGTGCTTTCCCAAAGTCGTAGCGGTACGAGAACGCCTCACCACGAGGTGCCAACAGCCGTGTAGAGAGATTGTCACTAGGGATGCTGGTTGTCGACTTGGAACTCTTCAAACGTAGGGCCGGGCCAGACTCGCCGAGGAACTCGTGAATTGGCTGGTCGAAGCCAATAAGCTTCGTATCGTGGCCAAACTCGTCCATGATGCCCGCAGGCATTGACTTGGGGCGCCGCGTCGCCGAAGGGTTAGATCGGCGGTGGCTGCGCGGCAGGGCATTGATCGGTCGTGATGAAGCGCCCAGTAAGCCCTTCTTGCCATTCTGAGGCAACACCTTCTTGCGGAAATCGACTTGGAAATTGACGTTGTTATTGTTGTCCCAATACTCGAGACCGTTGACGATGTAACGAACGCAGAAGAACAGCGTCTTGGACTCGAGATTGGCAAGGTCGGACAGTTTGATGCTAAACTGAAACCTGTCGTAACCAGTCTCGGTCTCCCTTGGGATTATCTCATGATGAAATTCAGCGCCAACTTCCGAGGTCGTTTTCCAGTAATCGAACGTAAACCTGCAGACCACCGACTTCTGGAAAGCCAGATTGGCCACCGCGACGGAACCTATCAGACATTTCTGGTCAGGCGACATCCACACCCTCTCGACCCGAGCGGGCAAAGCTTTGCGAATCGGTGTCTCGGGGGGAAAGTTGTTGACGACAATTTCCCATTCATGGGGTGGAGAACGTGTTCCAGAGTTTGCATCGACCCCGAACGGATACTCTGTGTCGCTCTCGTAGTTTTCCGCAGGGGAAGAATTTGCGCTCACGGCCAGAGGCCGATCGACTTGAAGGAAGTGTCGAACATGCTCGAGATGGGAATCGAAATGAACAGCTTTTCCAAAAGTGGGTGTCCCGGGCATGCTCGAAGGGCGTCTGAGCGACGCAGGGCGCAAAGCTGGTCGGACCAGCTCGCCAGACTTCTTCCGTACCATCTGCGGCTTTTTCGGGGGGTCGTCTAGGTCGGAACCTTCGTCTGAAGTTGTCATCGACACCTCGGCCGATTTCGTCAAGTAGATGTTGGAGTCTGTATTCGATCTTGAATGTGAGACCTTGCGGGCTGCGATGTTGAGAGCCGGCAGAGCGGCACTGAGTACCGTCTTGCGCGGCTCCTCGACGAGACCCTCGGCCTGTGACGGCAGCAACAGGAGATCACCAGGTGATGTCCTACTCGGCGAACTTCCTCGACGTTGTGGTATGCCACTTATGGCCTCCTTCAGCTCTTGCATATTCTCAATCTGCCTCCCTCGCTTCTCCAGCTCCACAGTCCCTTCATCTTCACTAGACGATTCAGGAGGAGTGCTGATAGCCCCAGGAGGCATTGAATCCGAGTCGGAAATCGGGGGCGGAGATTGCCTGACGACGCTGGGTGGGGTAGTCGACATGCCCTTCAGATTGCTCGACGTTCCTGGAGGGGTTATATCCGGAGTTGATCCATCAGCAACCGGGGAAGTGGCCGAAGGGGTCCGTCGGTGCTTTGTGAGGTACGAAGCGGACCGTGGCAGCGCAGGTCTGGGCGGCAGCGTGCCAGAGATGAAAGACGGTCTCCGGGTGATGTCTGGAGATGGTGGAGCCGAGGAGGCCGGAGAGCGAAGGGATGGGGGTGTGTAAGGCATTCCCAAGGATTTGGGCTGCCGCTGGGGAGATAACGGGAGAAGGGTGGTGAAGTAGAAGTCGGTGGACGTAATGCTGTTGTTGTGCTTAGGTGCAGTAGGCTTTAGATGAGGGAAACAGGGAAATATTCTCCTCCGCCAAACTTCAAACCAGGGGTCAGGTCCAGGTGGACAAGTAGCAGGAGCGAGAGTCTGGTTCGGAGAAGTGACTGGGCGCTCATAAAGGCCTAGAAAAGAGGAAGGTTCTATCAGCATGGTTTGGCTCAGTGTAAGTTTCCATGGTATGAGACGAAAATTGGGGATGTCTCCTCTCGCAGCTCTTGCTTCAACTACAAAACCAGCTGGCTGGTGATTCCAGTCCCAACAGACAAAGTATGTGGGCGATGTTGGGATTTTATGATGGATGCGTCTAGCAAGCAGGAGGAAGTTGTTATGGAATGAGAGGGTGAGCAGGAGCAAACGAATGACATATTGCTCAAGCGCGTGGCGTTGTCAGAGGTGACGGACCTCAGGAATGTCGTTTCTCATTTCGTCTAAATCCTACTGGCTCTCCCCACGTGGCACACGAGGCCGTTGATGTCTCAACCAACGGTGACGATCCGGGGGCGCAGGAGGTTTCCAGCCAACAGTTTTTAAAAAAAAAGATTTGAAGACTTACACAGGACTCAACGCACGAACTTGGATTCAGTTCAAATACGTCTTCTAAACCGAAAAGGCCGGCAAGTCAGGAGGAGATGCGATGGCAATATTTCAGCAACAATACGAGCTCCTTTCCCAACGGGTTTGTCGTAGGTCTGAAACGAACTGGAGGTGACCTTGAGGTTTCCCTGCGGAATCGGCGAAGGTCGCGGGGTGCTCAAGAGCAACGGCGGACGAGTGCGCTTCGACTGATCAAGAGGGCAAGGTCGAGGGTTGATAGGTTCCACGGGCAAAGCGAAGCCACCTCTGGATCGGCGGCAGGATACTGCGAAGAGGAGAAAAGGTAACGGTGCGACGTGCACAAAGGTGGTGCTTTGTTCGTTGGCAATGTTCCGGTTGAACGAAATTCTGCTCGCGCAGGAGGCAGATCTCTGGGTACCTTGCGGTCTCCTTTGTTAACTTGGCTTATTCCGCACCCTTTTTGTGACTGAAGATTGGGTGCAGGCAGCGCAGATGGCGTATTGGACAGTATTGTAGTGAATGGTTGTGTGCTGTGGTCTGGAAGGGCGCTCACCTTGTCGAGGAGGTAGGGAACCCTATTGTTCACGCCTCTCTAGTCAGAGCGGACGGACAATGACCAGTGGACGGACAATAACGGGTGGTGAGGTCGGACCACCGTGAGGCTACTACAGCGTGGTAGTCGACGCGACGCTTGGTCGACGACTGGACGGACGACTCGAGGCGAGGCGGACACCACGGCAAGGAGCTCGAGCAGGCTGTTTCTTTGTGAGCTGCTTCAATGAAGACAGCACAAGAGAACAGAAGGGTTGTGGTTGTGATTGACGAGTCTATCTACAAACCTAGGCCTGCCTCGACTGTAGGTAGCAGATGGTAAGCCTGCAGGTCAGCAGCGGAGGGTGGAGGAGGAGGAGGAGGAGAAGAGGGAAGAATGAAGGCCGGGATGGGTGGGTTTGCAGGAGGTTTATCGACTGCACACTGCCAAACTGCCCAGCGACTTGGTCAATGGTCAGATCAGGTCAGGTCAGCGCTTCAAGGTTGGTAGGTTGCCAGTTGGGTGGGTTGGTTTGGGGGGTTTGGGGGGACCGGGGGGGTGCTTGGGGTGGACTTGAGCGACGGTGGAGCCGACCCGGGGGAGTGCTGTAGCCTGTAGATAAACCGCTGGGGTTGTGTTCTAGCGGTCCAGTCCAGTCGAGCAGGTTCCATTGTCACAGTCTAGACAGTACACAGTGCTCACTGCACCCGAACCCACCAGCCCCCGGGCCACCAGGGTATCTCCAAGGAAGTGGCAACAAGGAGCCAGCCCTCGAGATTTGAAGCCAGGACAGTCCCGAAGGCTGTGCAGGCAGGTAGGTTGCGAAATACTGTACGCTTTACTGTGTGTGCAGTCACTCGCATAATTTCCATCAATGTCCTCAATGTTCTCGATGTTTTCCACTTCATCGTTAATGTGCATTTGCGACCCTATCACCAGGTACATGCCATATATTGACTGAGTGGGTTTGTTTTGATCAGCTATCGACACGTTCGTTGACTTATTAGGTTTTCTTGTTGAGATTATTATTAGCTCTTATCAATGCCAAACCTCCTCACATCGGATCGGAAAGATGATGCGACGGGATTAGGACCTAGAGAGGCTCTTTAATAATGGTCTGACCCTAACTCCCAAGGTACCGAGGTAGGTATCAACGAGAGGTTGTGTGTCCGCTGCCAGATACACAAGTATTTACCTTCTATATCTGCAATGCGTCCATACCTGCAAGGCATTATAATCATCATACAGGCCAATTTCACGGCTCACGAAAAGTGAAAAGCAAAAAAAAGAATCCCAGAAGGGGGGTGTGAGTGGTGCATGGTGCATGGTGCATGGTGCATGCCCAGGTGCCAGTGGATAACAGGCGAGTAGGATGGCGCATACGAATTGCCTCAATTTGCCTGCTTGCATAGGTATCAAACGAGCATGGCGCCATATGTGTGAGAGGATGCAATCAATGGCCACACAGGACAGGAACTTTCAACTGGGAGAGGTCAAGGTTCATCGCAGGATCCTGTCGAGACTTTCTTGACCCATTGATAGCATTATTACCTAGGTTCCTTGCAGGGCTGACGCACAGTAGAATTACTGTGTGTACCGTCTTTTGTGTGAGCGGGCACAGTGTCGACTGACTGCAATTGCCAATAAGGGGGTCTGTGCTGCACGGGTGATGGAATTGGGCGCAATGGAAATGGAAAGTCTGGATTCTGGCCCGCAGCTTCCGTTAGCGACAGGATGACGTCAAGCCGGGCTTCGATATCGGATCTATCATCTAAGCCGGCTTCGCATCTCCGGGGGAGTCCGGAGTCGCAGGACGGTGCGAGCGCCGAGCAAGGAGAGCGCCCTGGGCTATCTTCCTGCATGCCGAGATAGGTACCTTATGGATTGGACGATTTGATTAATACTTACCTACCTTATGTACTCAGGTACCTACCTGCCCATAACGGCACGATGCAAAGCATCTGCAACTGTCTGGCCAATCAGACAATTCCACCAATAGAGAGACATCCAACTGGAATCACCATGAACCACTCAGTGAGCTCAATTGGGCTCTCAGAGTTCAGACCCCTCCTTCAACGCCTGGGAAGTCTGTCGCTTGTTGTTTCAACATTTTTAAGATTTTTGTTCAGAGACAATTTCTGCGTTTAAGCTGCAGAGATAAGGAGGTCGGTACTGCGACTTCTCGTGTCACTTTACGATAGCCGCAGCTGTGTCTCCTGTTGCAGACAACGCTCTCTATCATAATTCCACCGATACCCCCTTTTGCAGGTGAACATATCTCGAACATAGCGACTACAACCTGGCCCCTCCACCCCTCGTCTTAGTGTTGCATTGCCTAGCGAGGTATAAGGACCACAAGACGCGTACTGTACTACAGTAGTACCCCCTCGACCACATGTATCCGGCATGGTTCATTGGTCTGTACTAGCCGTTTCAACTTGTGCACACACAGCACAACGTGAAGCCAGACATCGGAGGCTGCCGATGCAGTCTGGTGGACGGGGACAGGCGCCGTCGAAATATTCGCGGGTCCCGCTCGAGATGTCCCCGCGGTTGCCCACGAGCTAATTCTAGCAACAGCCTACAGCTTGAGGTCGAGGTCCCGCCGTGGATGAGCCACTAATAAAAATAAAGGGCTATAGCCCAACGCTTGTTGGTATCGTCGAACCTTCCTCCTTCCTCCTGCATCCATTGCGCGGTGTGTTGAATACAAGGATGTTGATGGATGCTCTTGATTGTTCTGCTCTGCTTCTTCAGTGTGCAGAGATTGATCATCTGTCTTCTTGGTGGGTCAGATGCCCTGTACGTCTCTGCCCCACTGGAGATCTTCCGGTGTCTATCTCCGGCTCCCATTCAACACATTCGTGCTAGTATCTAACACGGTGCCTTGGTGCTCGGCAGAGCAGACGCGATCGAGCGAGAAACGGATTGCCGGCGCCGTCGACCTAACCCCCTTCTTGACAGAGGAGGATTCTGGGCGGGGACGGGTTGACGCGGCTAGGAACAGTCGGCATAAGTGCATCCCCTATAGCAGCCCCGCCTCGTCAGAAACGCCCCTCCCATCCTGGCAACCGGATCAAGTCTGCGAGAAAGATCAGGAGTCGGGAGTCATCTACTCCGCCTCTCCATTACCAGTATTCAGTATTCAGGGGCAAGATACTGACAGAACCCCCTTTTGCGTACTGCAACCACTAGTTAGCTAGCCTGGCAGCCTGTGCGGTGTAACTTAGTTGGCTGCTTGGAAGACATCGGTAAATTATCATGCCTACTAAAGAGAGCGTGGTTCCTGAACGAACAGCCCCCTACTACCCGCCGTTGGTGCGACCTCACAGACGACGACCCGATAGCCATGAACCAGATCTCGTCCATATCAGACATAGGGACTTCATCGTCTGCTTGGCAGCTGGCGTTGGTCCCCGGTACCGCATGCCTACCTCGTACCTCGCCCGCATCCTCCAGCTTACACAGTACTGTACGAACATCGATTCTGCACACGGCCGGCCAACAGAGTACGAAGCAGACTCGTATCTTGATTCGCTGCTTTTCACCTGCGATCCTTGCTTGTTCGTCGACATGTGCTTCTGCTTCAAACCTTGCAGCCCTTGTCGCCTAGGTCCCGAAGCCAACCAACCAACCATGGTCCAGAAGCACGAACTCGCGGAGAGTTGTTAATAGGATAGGAGCATGGTGGGCACGGTGGAGTACTATGCAGTATGTACTTGAGGTTGTATCTTGTGGGATCCAAGGAAAATTTTCGTATTTACGGCGCTCATGTGTGTGTGGGTATGGGGTATTATTTAGTCAAAGGGGGTGGACTAGAGTCGAGTAATGCTATCAGCTATCTTGCAGACATGAGAGGTCTAGAAGCCATAGCCAATTGTTGTATGTCGCTTCTCGCGTCGCGACATATCAAGATTCAACAGGAAATCTCCATTCGCACACCCTTGTCTGCTTTTGGCTATTCACGACCAGGGTTGCACAGAATAGGCGCCGCCGCGCCGCTGGTGATGGAACTCCGGATACGGCGGCACTGTGGCATGGTGTGTGAGACTACCTTGTATTC